AAAATCGTTCGTACGGCGTTCGTAGCAGTTTGTAATGGCATTGGTGACCGAGGCATTAGTTTTAATTCAACATTAACGAGGAAACAAATCAAGACACATTTATTGACTCACTAATCACCATGTGTTACTTGTATGGCGAACACACCATGTCACCATATGTGATTCTCAAAATCCCTGGCCTAAATAATCATTCATGAGTGACCGTTTTACCGTCATTCCATCATGTCCATACTTTGAACAACCGACCTCCTTTGCTAGGTCTTGTCATTTAAAACATCTCTGTTCATGTGTAAAGATATGTATAAGCAATCTCTCAACATCATACTTAATTATGAAACAATCACCCACTCTGAAAGAACACTGGTTATGACACGAATTCAAAAGTTGTTGTTGTTCTGCTCTATAATTATATCAGTTCAGTTTCTACAGTAATAATTTGTGTACGTTTAAAGAGTCGCTGGTCCTCGTGTCATGATAATGGATGACCCAGAGTCTACCTCCTCCCGGACTTTCTTACAAGGCAGGTACTTCCTCCACTTATTAAACCTCGTCACGCTCTTGTATGCATTACGGAACGAACGCATCATCCAAGCGTAGAGAAATGGGTTAAGACAGGAGTTCACCCAAATGAAAAGGTTTGTGAATCGGTGCAGGGGCGTCGGGATGATGCCATTCTTGTCGCTCAGGACCACGATAGAGAAAGGACACCAACAGACGAAGAAAATGAGAAATAAGAGCATAAGTTTTTTGGTCAATCTGATCTCCTCTCGGCTAAGCGTGGGGGCACGATTGCCTGCTTTAGGAGCAACGCCTTTGCTGGTTGAGTGATGCCTCTCACTGTTGCGGTTGATGGCATGAACAGTTATTCTGCTCTTCCTCACTACCCATAGTGTCAAGGCATAATATGCAGGCGTGATGGTCATCGTGGTGATTACTCCTGCAAGGAACAAGGTCGAGCAGTACCACCAATCTCTCTCTGTTTCGCAAAGCATGGAGCAGTGTCCCAGGTCAGAGTTGTATCCCACGTCGCCGAAATCCGCAAGTTCGGGCAAGATGACGATGAGGCAGTTGAGTGTCGCCAACACGCTGAAGGCTACAATAATGACACATGCGTTACATTGCTTGTGGAACACATGCTTTGGACGGGTAACGGCGACGTACCTTGTGATGGCTATGAGACCTAAAGACATAACGGATAACGACAGACATATCAGAGCCGCGTACCCTAGAATGTCACAGTATATGTCGGCGTAGGGCCAACCTCCATTTAATAACGTAAAGATGAAGAATGGGGCCAAGATTGATGTTGTTATAAGGTCCGTGATGGAAAGGAATATGATGAAGATATTGCCACGGGTCCGGAGAGTGGGTGTGCTTAACACCGCTGCTATCACCAAAATGTTTCCAAATGTCCCCAGAATCGACACAAAAATAAGGAATATGGATTCAAAGATTTCTGCAAGTCCAGTTTCGAAGTCCTCTTCATTTCCAGCAGTGATGTTCACGTCTATTGTAACACCTGCTACCGTAGTTGCGATTCGAGCCATAGTTCCCGCCATTTCTTTTCCCCCTTACGAAAAAATGTGTATATTTAGCCCCTTCCCGCTTCAGCTCACTGCACTTCAGTTGAATTTGGTATTTTTGTCAATTAGGAAGGGGAATTATTAAAGTACAAAGAACGACAGATGAGTGATGGTGTATAGCAAACACACACTGACTTTAAGGGAAAAGAAGTAATAACGATGAAAGAACATGCTCAGACCGTTTACTTTGAAGACATGCACTCAGCATCTTTTGGCGCCTTGTCGAAGGGCTCTCCCCTAATCCATGCAATTGTGAGATTTGGTGTTTCTCGTGTAAGCGTTTGATACTACGAGAATTGTTGATGAATAAGCAATTAATCCATCATCCTGATGATGCTTCATACTTCCTCAAAGAACTATAGAATCGTGTCTCCAGAAAGCAATTTGCTGTTAATCATTAAATTGACCATTTAATCATTTGTGAAACTTCGAGTACTGTGAACGTGTCCGTAGACAAGTCCTAATATTTATTCAATGATGATTTCCGAATGAATCCAGAGGAGTTTGAATTTTAGCCATCTCCTCTTTCACACATTGGTGTTAAATTGCTAGATCGATGTGACAAACCATCGTCCTATGGGGACCACCGCGAATATAATTGCCGTTTCTAGAATGGGAGCATTGAATTTTAGTTATATACGCGTCACCAAGGACGAATCAAATTCAAAATAGAGAAATTGATTATCAATCGTATGCAAAGACGTGTTAACGTATTGATAGTTCTATATTTTGCCCTTCCACCGACATTGTCAGAGGAAAGAAGAAATTGATTTTCACCAGTCGTTGCGCACACCTTTAGTACTGAATAGTCAATTCCAAAGTCAATTTTAGTATCCGATCTTCAGTAGAAAGTCGCGATGAAATTCGTTTTTAAACCCGCCTGTTTCACGATGTTTTAAAAGTTTGGTGCACGCCTTGATAGTTCAGTAGTTAAACTGTAAAAGACTCGAAGTAAAGGAAGAACATATTTACTAGAATGAAGTTTGGTTCCTTTCATGTATGCACGTAGTTGGCATATTCTGCGTGTTCTTGAGAAAATAATGGTGAACAAACGATGTGAAGGCGCTGTTATTTTGTATGTGCAATAATATTTATAGACCCAACACGGCATGCCACGAAAAGTCAGTTTTCTGTTTTCCTCCGTTTTCTTGAAAGTGTCGACGGTAAACAAAAGCTGATAAACTTGGCATTCTAAAACTGTCTTGGTAAACGTCAGATCGAAAAGGCTAAATTACCTCCCCAAGGAAAATAGTGGTGTTTATGATGATTCAAATCCTTTCTCGTGGAGTGTCGTTTTTGGCGCCCGTCGATATCCCAGAGTCAAAGTTTATCTCGACGTCATCCATCGAGTGTCTGCTTTGACGGGTATGAATGCCGCGATTGAACCAACTCAAACACGCCACAAGTGGGGTCGGTCTGCCAACAGGTGCTTGTGCCCAGTGGAAAATACATCAAACACCGCTTTTCACTAATTCGCGCTTTGATCACGTGCGTTCTGATGCGTTGTCTATATTTTTTTCTGAACAGAGATAATTACTTTAGATCGCGGCTTGATATGCGATTTTGGAGAGGGAAAGTCCTTCGTAGAATTAGTTGTCGCGAATCGAACGTGAAATGCGACTGAAAAAATTGAACAGCTAAAAACTTTGTTTTTGGTAGTTCAGCAGTCAACTCATCGCGGGAATGTTGAGAAAAATACATCTGTTGCTTTAAAAAGTGTGTCAATTATTTAACCCCGAAAAAGTCGAATTATCGTTAATGTAGTTGCTGGCATTGTCAAATCCACCAAGTTTTGGCCAATCAATTTTGTTTATAGATTCCAGTCTACTATCGATTCTAATGCCCGCCGATTTTCTACCAAAGAGCGTCGCACAACCCTTTTTTGTAATTATCATGTTCATTGTAATTACAATGTCACCTCAAGCAGCTTGACATTGATGACGATGCAATTTGGGATGCAAGACGCTGTTGATATTATTGCTCTGGCATCCATGATGTTTTTTTTTCTTCTTCATTATACTGTCATATTTCTTTCTGATGTGTCAGTTCATGTAATTATGAGGATGATGCTAATGTTCCTTGTCTTATCACTCCTTTCTAGGCAACATCCATTTTCCTTTCCCTTTATTTTCTTTCCCTCCATTTTTTCCCCTCCATTTTCTTTCCCTCCACCAGGCGCGTACACAGGGGGGGGGGGGGGGGGGGGGGGGGGTTTAAACCCCCCTTTGGTATTTTTTTTGTGTAAACCCCCCATAACCCCCCTAAAAACCCCTTCCCCCCCCCCCCCCCCCCTTTGGTTTTTTTTTTTTTAAATTTTTTTTAAAAATTTATTTAAAAAAAAAAAAAAAAAAAAAAAAATTCCCATGGCTGACCTAAAAAAGCTGACCTTACCCCCCCCCCCAGGAGCAAAATGTCAAATTTTCAAATTTCGAGACAAAAAAAAAAAAAAAAAAGTTACCTCTTACCCCCCCCCCCCCCCCCCCCCCCCCCCTTCTGGTTGTCCACCCATATGTGTCAAAGGTCAAATGTCATTATGATTATAAAATTATGCCCCCTCCCCCCAAAAGAAATCTTACTATCACGATATCTCAACAGCCATTAGAGTTCTGAACTTCAAACAGTAGTAATCAGCATCTGCATAAGGAAATAAGCTGACTGGGTTGGTGGAATAATGTCAAAGGTCAAGGGTGAATATAGATTTTGTTGTTGTTCTGGTGCTATATATGCACATCCATTTGAGGTATTTAATGTACTTACAACTTTGCACAACTATGCATCACCCAACATAGGAAGATATATGACGTAGATTTATTGGTTCAAAGGTCAGGTTAAAGGTCAATGGTCAATACACATAAAGTATTTAGGATTGTATTTTTTTTATGATAAATCAAGATTATCAAGAACCATAACAGTTTCAAACTTGGTACCAGCATGCATCCCCATAGGGAAAATAATAAGGTCAAAGGTCAGAGGTTAATCGAATACAACTAGATTTTGTGTGTTATTGTGACTATGGTGCCCTCCTTGGGACATGCACATCTTACTGCATCTTTTTCCTACAACATCTTTGTATTCCTTCATTTAGCACATTGCCTTTTCATCTGTCATCACTAAAATTGAATTGAATTTTGTTGCTCCTTTCCCTCCTTTAGTAAAATGTTGCTCCATGCAAAGACTAGACATGTTTTGATGGAGAGACACTAATATTTATGAGTTTTGGTTTTATCATATCTTTTCTCCTCCCTTACCTACAGAATACATTTGTTTGCAAATAGCTGATGATCTAGGTAGTCCCAATTATTTTAATGTCACGTGGCAACATATGAGATTCATATGTGTGTATCTTCTCTACACCTTAATTAATAGGGAAATAATGCTAAACGATTCTTTTGGCTTGTTTTATTCCTATTCTTACAGGATCAAATCAAAGAGTGGTTCACTGAAGTCAGTACTAATGGAATTCCAACATCAACAGAGTTCTCCCTTAGTAACACACTCGGAGACCAGGTCCAGATTAGGGCTTGGAACATCGCTGGTCTACCCACAGACAGCTTCTCTGTTGAGAATGGTATCATTATCAGGTTAGTAATTTGTTTTCTTTCTAGAAAATTATGAGTATTTTTCTCTGACGTATATTGGAGAGGCAAATTATACTAGAATTTGATATATTTTTAGTGATCCATTAATCAAAACCTTGCAATCAGAGTACCTAAAGACAGTACTTGAAAATAAAAACAGTACTTGTGGTAGACTAAAATAGATCACGAAGAATAAATGCATAATCTAGGTCAAGCCTCCCCCACATATGAATTTCCCAACATGATATCCTCTCTTTCAAAACAATACAAATATTCTACCATCAGTCCAAATAGCTTGATTGATCCGTTGGAGCCAGGAGGGCATTAAATTATATATTCTAACACAGAGTTTAACACCCTTTTGGCTGCAAACAGATGACATTAAACTGTAATGATAAATTAATGTCTGTATTTTGTAGTGTATACATGTATGAATGATGGAGTTCCCTGTCGAATATCTATGGATTTTATTCATATTCTTCATGGGACAAAATCGTTGAACTTTAGTCACGGAAGGAAAGCAGGAATAATTTGTCATAAGATTTCAAGGGTCTACTTCATCTTAAATTACCTTCTTGGACATAATTTATCATTTCAAGTGAACCATCTGTTGTGGATTATGATAAAAAGTAACTGCCCTTTGGTATTCAAGATCAGATTTTTTAAAAATGTGTGTGTGGGTGTGTGTGGAGGAAGATAAGGGCTTACATTAAAAATAGAGGATTCAGGAAATTTGGTTATTAAGGGCCTCTTACAATGAACCATGTTATGCTCATGCACATTTGACACAGTTAGCTGCCTCAGATTTCAATCCAATATTATGTAGACTTAAAAGAATAATAATGAATATTTCAAAGCTTCTAAAGCCTTCTGATTAAATATCAGAAAAAATTGAATGACTAGTATTTTGTCAAATATTTTTCAAGTAAGTAATGGAATGATATCAGGTTTAAATGGTTAGTCTTTAAAAGGGGTTCCTTAGCTTTAAATCGTATAACATGTCGGTGGTCATAATGGCCTGTACACATCATCAATCATACAGAGAGGAGAGGTCAAATGGTCAGCATCAATTTGATTTTATTTTGATTTTATTTTATTTGCCCTTTTTGTTTTCAACAAAGCATCAAATAATCAATGATCAGTGAATCAAACCGAGACAGCTGCATTCAAGTTCTTACGTCTTTTGAATAATAAGAAATATAACCATCAAACCAAGAGGCAGCTGTATGGGTGGATTATTAATTCTTATCAATTTTAATAGCGGTATAGTCTTTCTATTCTTTATATTTTTCTGCTCTTATGCCTTATCAGCTCAATATGTCCACACCACTATTATGACAAGATTTGTGCTGCAGGTGGATCGAGGCTTCCTTCTTTAGGAAACTAAATCTTTTGCACTTTATTGTATAGTTTTCTTTAAAAAGGGTGACCCTTTGCATAAAATATGTCTTACATTGAGAAAATCTATGCCCAATGATGTAGTTAAGTAAAAAAAAGAGTAATCTCTATTCTTTAGCTTTAAATGATCCTAGACAGATAAAATGGTTTGATTAATTTGATGCCCATTATTGCCAAAGGGATATTGCTAAAGGGATATTGCCAATGAGATATTTCAATATGAGATTGCAAATGACCCTTTTATCAAGTGCATGTAAGGCTCAGTTCGATGATACAATATTTTATTCATTAATACATGTACAACTATTATGAAAGGATATGGTGTGTTGCACACGCACTTCACATCCATTAGTTAATTAAATTGAGTGAACATGAGATTAAACTGATATTATCATATCACTTTAAAATGATTTCCCTAGATGAATCGAATATCCTGGGGGGTGTTTCATAAAGCTGTTCGTAAAGTTACGCATGACATTACGAACGACTTGTATATGAAGTGCCAGATAGGATGCCCAAAGTTTTTTCTGATATTTCCAATAACCTCAATTAAATTATGGCCAAAAATATACTTTGCATTGAAATTGGTTGTTATAATAAGAATGTTAATCTACATCTGCCCAGTTCAACATAATAAATAATAATCAATAATGATTGAGCATCCCATTTGGCTTTTCATATACAAGTCGTTCGTAAAGTCATGCGTAACTTTACGAACGCTTTATGAAACACCCCCAGGAGGGATTGAATTATTGATGTGTTTTGGAGGCACAATGGCACATGAATAAAACAAACAATGCTTATTTGTCTGATAAGGAGGCAACTGCCTGCCCTAGATGTAAAAGTACATTGACTCATTATATTATATTAGTTTTTTTTTAAAGTTTTTACTTAGGTTCCTGTTTTCTAAAAGATTCTATAAAAATAGGTTTTCTTCTCTCCGTAAATGAAAATAAATTTGTTATTAATTTTCACTCCTTTGCATAAACTACTCAGACATAATCCTATCATTGTGAAATTACGTGCAATTTAAATTCCACTGCTTTTAATTACCTCAGCTAGGGCATTTACTTTTAAAAATATGAAGTAATTCTATCATTCTCATCCACCCCTATTAATAAACTACTGATATCAATAAATTTATCCCCATGAAATCCCTTGCTCTCATTTCAATACTGGTGGTCTTAGTTGCCAAGATAAGAAACTACAATTTAAGTTCATCACAGATTCAAATATATACCCCTGATTGGAGTATGGGATTAAAAGACGATGTGGAATAATTGAACATGTACTATTTCTACTTCTAACATGTGATTTCCAGACAAAACGATTCAAAATATCATATTGCTATTACCTTTATACCCCTCTAAGAAGATGAAAAAAGAAAATGGGAATGGGAAAGGGGGTTGGTCCTTTTTTGTAACGAGGTAAAAACCTGAATTCCGGCCCTAGCAATTTAGTTTTTTAGCACGTTTCAAGCTTTTTCCATGTAAAATGTAGATAATTTTGATTTTTTTCAGAGACATGAATTTTAACTGGTAACCCTATTTGTTTAAATTAACACTGGAAGCTGATTCTACCCCGTTTTTATTGCATGAAGTGAAGCATGGGTTTGAAGATACATGCTATGCCTGTCACCAATACCAACAAACAAAGTATAAAGAGTTTTGCAAACTTGTTCTTGCTTCCTACAGCAATGCCCGTCGATGGCCACTCATGATTGATCCTCAGGGTCAAGCCAATAAGTGGGTCAAGAACATGGAGAAAGCCAACAACCTTCATGTCATCAAGCTGACCGATGGTGACTTTGTGAGGACTCTCGAGAACTGTGTCCAGTTTGGTACTCCTGTAAGTAATAATTGGCAGATTAAAGTGGGGGGGGGGGGGAGGGGGGGGGGGGCTTACGGGTTAGATGAAAGTCAAATTTAAAATTATGACATAATCATTGTAGTAATATTGTTGAAACAAATATTTTATTTTGATAGCGATCCTCCTTATCATAGTGTAATGTTAATTTTATTAGGGTTATGACAGACTCAGTGAAAGCTTATTTGAGATCCGCTTGAATAGATACTGGTCATGATATTCTGACATTGGAACCAAGGCAATTACAAAGACCTTTCTCTTTGGCTACGCTCTCATGCTTACCTAATTCATCATTGAGGCACGCATGTGCCTGACAAACAACCAGCGTATGAAATTGTAATATCATTCCAAAACATGGGGAGAATGAATGAGAAAATTATACGGAGCAGGAAATTTGCTCCAGTTTTTAATTAAATGGCCTTGGATAGATTAACAGGTTGTAATTGAAGTGTTTTTGAGGGCTCAGAGAGCAACACATGTATAGACCTATATTTTTTTTTTCTTTCAACACATTGAGTGGGTTCTTGTGTTGATGTTCCGTTGTTGGTATTATTGTATTTTAGTATACATGTATGTTCAGACAAGATGCAAAATGTATGTGGCAGAGAGACAGCAACGGGTAAGCAGGAAATTCAGAGCAGTAACAGAATAGATAGCTGAAACTATGAAAACTAGGGCACATCAGAAGGATAAGAAGGATATCATTTTTATTGATGTCAAAACATTGTCATTAGGGCATGCCATTTAATTACGTTTTCCACCAATCAGGTTCTGCTGGAGAATGTAGCTGAGGAGCTGGATCCCATCCTGGAGCCGTTGCTCCTGAAGCAGACGTTCAAGTCTGGAGGAGCCATCTGTATCCGTCTAGGAGACAGTACCATAGAGTACTCCCATGACTTCCGTTTCTACATCACCACCAAGCTCAGAAACCCACATTACCTGCCTGAGACTTCAGTCAAGGTATGATCTAGCTCTCTTTAAAGCCCCACTGTACTGCTTAAAGCTACTTGCGCCCTCTATTAGAAAACAATGCCTAATCGGTGCCTGTTGGTCCCCCATAATCCCTTTTTCTTATGTTAATTGAGAGCTGATTTGATGAGATAACCACATGTCAGTGACCTTGCACGGAGGTCTAATCCCCCTTGGCCATACTGGTACAGACAGGCTTTAAAGAATGGAAACCCTAAGGATACTGTATGACCTTTGACAATAATGATATGTTGGACTTTCAACAACAAAAAAGATTGAGGACGGTGTTAGTATTGAATGTCTTCTTACATCGCTCCTCTAGCTATGAGACATATGATATATAGATATTCATATTCAAGTATGAATAAACTTCTTATCATTGTGAATCAAAATAATGTTCGATTTTTGTCATTGATAATCATGGATATTTCTTTCTTCAAACTTCAAGGGATGTTTTTCGCTGACAGTCTGAGAAAAATTGATTAATTTGTTTATTTCTTGCACATCCATTTTAAAATGTTTTTAACCTGTTACCGTTGCATACTTCTTTGGTGTACAAATTGTCTACAAATTACAAAAGAGATAGAAATTGAGCTAACACCACTATATGGGAGCACATCTACATCTACTATAGATATGAACTTTCTACTTTATACATTATACTGACTTTTTGAGAAATTCAACAAATTTGATCATTTACAAATCAGTGTTTAATACATTACTAATGTTTTTAAATGTTTTTAACTACTCAGTATCCTTAAATCGATGGTAACTAATTTTCAAGCTTTGATTGTGAGATAGATTATGTATTTGCAGTCAAATCATTTAGGGAAATATGTCATGCTATGTGTTTAAATACAATCAAAGGCACTATTTTGAATGGTACTACGACAGGATTAAACATACATCAATTCAACCTTTACATAAATGCTACGTGAGTGTTTTGTTTAGACTGTTGGGGTTAACTCCTATCATTTCTCACGATCTGTAGGTGACTCTGCTGAACTTCATGATCACGCCAGAGGGTCTAGAAGATCAGCTGTTGGGTATTGTGGTAGCTAAGGAACGTCCAGAGCTTGAGGAAGAGAGAAACGCCCTCATCATCCAGAGTGCTGACAACAAGAGGCATGTCATTGGCTAGAAAATGAGAATTTAAGACATGATCATATTTACTTTTTATTAACTTGTATTTCTTGAATATCTTTAAGATTGGTTGTTGAAAATGTTGTTCAGACCAATTATTTTTGCTTTAGTCACTATTTAGAGCAGTGAGAAGTATCCCTTTTTTTAATGCATTTTATTACAGTGATGATTACAGTGTATATATTCAGAAAAATCTATGTGATCACCATATGTTCTGCTTTTTAATTTTATATATTAGACTTGTAGAGGGAACAAATGTAATTGTTAAAACATACATTCCCAAAATATTTAAGGGTAAGGTAGTCTACATCTGAGAGCTAACCTTTTATCTTTGACCTTTTCACCAGGCAACTTAACGAGATTGAGAACAAGATCTTGGAAGTGCTTTCATCATCTGAAGGCAACATCCTGGAAGACGAGACAGCCATCAAGGTCCTGTCCTCTTCTAAAGTCCTTGCCAATGAGATCTCGGAGAAGCAGGCGGTCGCAGATAAGACAGAGAAGATGATTAACAAGACTCGTCTAGGATACAAGCCCATCGCTACCCATTCTAGTATCCTCTTCTTCACCATTGCTGACCTGGCTAACATTGAACCTATGTATCAGTACTCTCTTACATGGTACGTGATTGTTTCCTTAGAATTATTGTTAGAGGCAGGATTAGCTGAGGCCCATGTTGTGTGATTGCTTAGGAATTCAATAATTTTTCATAACATCTAATAATTGCTGTGCAAAGAAGGACAAAAGTTCAGAATCAATAATTTAAAAAAATCTATAACTTTCATGAAAATAAAATGTACTGATGTTTCTTTTTTATGCGTCTGTATATTGTTTCCTAATAACCCAAGACATAAGCTTCGATCAAGGGCTTTCTGAAATCTCAGAAACCTGTTCAAAAAAGTTTCTTTATATCTCCATAATATGCGTGAAGACTTTATGTTTTGTGTGAGCTACATGTACACAGTTTTAATGAATACAACACAATTTATACAAAACTATACAACGTTTCTGTGTAATACAGTACACTGAGATGACATGTACAACGCTCTCTCATGTACAAACTCATAATACGGCTGTATCTACATCTATTTTTAATCTTCCAGGTTTGTCAACCTGTTCATCAATGCCATTGAGAACTCTGAAAAATCTGACAATCTGGACAAGCGTCTTGAGAACTTGAGAGACTACTTCACCTACTCTCTCTACTGCAACATCTGCCGTTCTCTCTTTGAGAAAGACAAGGTAAAGTACAGACAGACTGTCGGGCCTCTCCAGATGCATCTGTCTGCACTTAAAATGTACTGTCACCTTAAAATAGTTTTCACAATATACATGTATATAGCAATATATAGCATTTTATCTAATTTTATTAATTTTTGGAGAGAAATCTCAAAGAAGAGTTTGTTAAAGAATGATCAACATGTGAAATATTACAATAAAGAATTCATTTTGTTTTAATTCTTGAATGATAATTGCAGAAAAAAATATCTCTTGTGAAAATATGCAGGCCCTAATAAGTCTTAAAAAAAAAAACTTGTTTTAAAGCCACACTGTCCTACTGGTAGCTACTTGCTCCCTCTATATAGAAAACAATGCCTAATAGGTGACCATTGGTCCCCCGTGATCCTCTTTTTCTTATGTTAATTAAGAGCTGAGTTGATGAGATAACCACCTGTCCAGTGACCTTGCAGGGTGCTCTAATTCCTCCTATAATCTAGTACAGATAGGCTTTAAAGTGCCTCAACTATATTAAAAATAATCCCCTCTCTCTCTCTCTATGCAGCTGTTGTTCTCCTTCATCCTGAATACCAACCTACTGAAACACACCGGTGAGGTGAAAGACGAGGAATGGCGTTTCCTACTGACCGGTGGTGTAGGTCTGGACAACCCTCACTCCAACCCCACCTCCTGGCTACCCTCTGCATCCTGGGATGAGATCTGCCGTGCCGATGAGATGCCTAACTTCAATGGAATCAGAAAGAAGTTCCCAGCACAGAAGGAGGGCTGGAAGATTCTCTACGACAGTGGGGTAAGTTAGTTGGTTAACTTGTGTAAACTAGTTAGTTTGTGTAAAATACTTAATTGGTGTAAAATAACTCTAGTCATGAACTCCCAAATTGTAAAATGTCAAAGACTGAGCGAGCTCTGGAGTTTAATTTATACCAGCACTTATTGATTGCATCAATAAAATATCTTTGTGAATGTATTAATTTTTCCCTTACTTGTTGCTAGTTTCACTGTTAATCCAAGGAACTTACATATGTTTATAATTGTACCAAACATCACTTTTATACATATATCTATATATTGTGTCCTGTAATTATTATGCATGTAGTATAAGTCATACATGTAGATACATAAGGGATTTCTTTTAAGTATTGTTGCTATTCAGATGATATTACATGTTCATATTATTTCATCTATAAATAGGAACCACAAAATGAAAAGCTGCCTAGTGACTGGGAGGAGAGTCTAGGTCTCTTCCAGAAGCTCATTATCATCAGGTGTCTGCGACCAGATAAGGTGAGGAATTAAATGCCACTTGTGTTGGGTTACGGTCAATAACTTGATAATTGGTTTCAGCATTTTGGACACTTCACTTTTATTTTAAAAAGAAACTACTTTGGTATACAGGTTCCTGTATAATCCTGTCCATCGTCTAATATGTAAGATAGATTACTTGATGCCCCTCGAATTCAATGGTAAGGACTTTTAATAAGTAAAACCACCTTAACATATATCCAGTAATCCAGTAACACATTTTCTGTCTTCTTTGCTGCCAGGTGGTGCCCGCCGTGCAGGACTTTGTGACCCAGAAACTGGGCAGAAAGTTCATTGAACCTCCACCATTTGACCTTGGGAAGGCCTTCAATGACAGTCATTGCTGTGCCCCTCTCATCTTCATCCTATCACCCGGTAGTGACCCTACTGCTGCTCTCCTCAAGTTTGCCGATGACCAGGTAATCAACGAGTCAAAAATCCTTCTGGCTCAGTTACTACCCTCTAAACAGCAACTAAAATGATTAGCTTTATAAATGGACATAGGGGGAACCTATACACAAATTCCTTTCAAATGAGATGCACAATATATCACAGGTACAGTACATGAATTATCTAGATGTAGAATTATGTAACAAAACAAGGCCATACAATTTGTCATAATCTTTTTTTTCATTTCATTCATGGAACAATTAAACATTTAAATGGTATTAAACCTTATTGAAACACCTTTGTTGTGAGAATTTATAAAAATAACTGATTTGAAAGTTAGATTAAAGCTCATATCCATGTGAAATTTTGATATCTATTATAGAATAATTTTCTGTACTTGGTGAATTTGCAAGGTGCGTTTATATTACAGTTTCAATGAATAAACAATTTCAATGGCGATCACCTTTAAAGATGAACAACTGAATACTTCAATCATAACACAAATGACATGTGCATTTACTTGGAATGGTCTATCCCCACAGGGCTTTGGAGGTAGCAAGCTGGCCTCCCTGTCGCTAGGTCAGGGACAAGGTCCTATTGCTATGAGCATGATAGAGAAAGGTGTAAAGGAAGGTACCTGGGTCCTGCTTCAGAACTGTCACTTGGCCGTCTCCTGGATGTCTACCCTTGAGAAGATCTGTGAGGTAAGACCACCATGAATAGAGTCTAACCAGCTGTCTCGGTGTGAAAACTGGGGCCTGTTTCATAAAATTTGTTATCAATTACAAGTTACAAGCTACTCTTATAAGCTACTGAAATCATGGCATCTGATTGGCTGAGAGCAAATTTATCATAGAAATTTAGCATGTTTTATAGATAACAAGTTTTATGAAACGGGCCCTGGGTGGTTCCTGTATTTAGCATGAGGGCAATGAGAAAATTCGATATATAACAGTTTGAAAAAAAAAGAAAGATTCAAGGATGAGAGGGATTTCTCTCAATTTTCTTGGTCTGCATTTTGTCAGAAATATTGCTAAGATGGAAGATATGAGCATTGTCAATATATGTACTTTTTAATAAATGCTTGGAGGATGGGGAGATTCTTATTCTAAAGGAGTTAAATTTAAACTTAGTTTGTGAAGCAGAGTTTGTGGAGCAGGGTTGTATAACTCAGTTTGTGGAGGCCGTATTGTCTCCTGCAGACTTTGAATGCATGGCGAAGACTGTGTGTGACTGCTTAGACTTATCTACTTGAATAATGTTTGAACGGGTCGTATGGGATATGAAATCGCTAAGGGCTTAACACTGTGCAATCAAACTCCTTTTTTTTGTAGGAGCTGAATCCTGAGGCCGTCCACCCAGACTTCCGTCTGTGGCTGACCAGTTACCCATCCCCTCACTTCCCTGTGGCCGTACTACAGAACGGGGTCAAGATGACCAATGAGCCTCCTAAGGGTCTCAGGGCTAACATCATCCAGTCATATCTTAGTGATCCCATCTCGGATCAAGAGTTCTTCACAAGCGTCAAGGAGGATGTAAGTAATACATGCATTTCTGAGTATCTTGTAAAATGTAGTGAATAATGCTTGTTCACTCTCAAATGTCATTTTCTTTCACAAAAGATGTGTAAATCCCGGCTCCCTAAACTTTAGCTTACAATATTTTCCCATTTATGTATAGTTTTATTGTAAATGCAATATTATACAGGTGCAAGTTAGAGGGAATGATTCTAGAATTGGATTAGAATACTGGTAGAAGAGTCAAGGAATAGTGGAAGGCAAGAAAATAACACACATGTATTATATTACGATGAGAGTAGAATATGAGAATGTAGAATATGATGCATTAAGAATATAGAACACATTGAATCACTCAAGTCAAGGTTTTAAGACAATATCCAGGATAACCTTAACGTATATAAAAGACAACCTGATATGATACTCTTGATACAAGTTTATTGATGAAGCAAGGAATTTATAGTCTATTTATTCTGCAGTTCACAATTACATAAAAGCAAAGAGTTACTAGTCAGGTCAAGATATGAAAAAAAAGGGGTCAACCTAGAACTAATTGCAACAGAAACGATTCCACTTGCATATAATCTGGAATAGCCATGAAAACAACATACTCAAAGTTGACAAAAATTGAAGTGGTGGATCAGTGCCTAATTTGCATAAATTCAAAATGGCCGCCATGTCAGACCCTGGTAGACACACAAAACCTATTTTAGCCTATATCTCTAGATCTTAAACACATAGAACGCTAAACGAAGTGTCTTTACACATGTTTGGGGGTCAATAAACATGATTATAGCATTATCAGCAGCTAACAACTACTCCTTGACTCTTAATTTGCATAAATTTGCATAAAATTAACCCTTTTTAAAGTCAAAATGGCTGCCATGTTTCATGTTTAAAACTATTTCTCATCTGATACTTACAGAAAGTTGATTTAAGTGCCCTTATCCATGTTTAGGGGGTCAAGGAAAAAATAATTATGGCTTTATCGGCAGCTTAGAACTATTCCTTGACTCCTAATATGCATAAATTTGCATATAATTAACCCCTTTTAAATTCTGAATGGCTGCCATTTGTTCATGTTTAAAACTATATCTCTAGATCTTATACACATAGAAAGCTAAACGAAGAGTCTTTACCAATGTTTAGGGGGTCAAGGAACATGATAATAGCATTATAATCAGCTTACAATTACTCCTTGACTCCTAATTTGCATAAATTTGCATATAATTAACCCTTTTTAAAGTCAAAATGGCTGCCATGTTGCATGTTTAAAAGTATATCTCATCTGATACTTAAAGAAAGTTGATTTTAGTGCCCTTTTACAAGTTTAGGGGGTCAAGGAACATAATTATAGCATTATCAGCAGCTTAGAATTACTCCTTGACTCCTTATTTGCATAAATTTGCATATAATTAACCCCTTTTGAATTCTAAATGGCTGTTTTTCATGTTTAAAACTATATCTCTAGATCTGAGACACATAGAAAGCTAAACGAAGTGTCTTTACTGATGTTTTTGGGGTCAAGGAACATAATTATATCATTATCAGCAGCTTAGAACTACTCCTTGACTCCTAATTTGCATAAATTTGCATATAATTAACCCTTTTTTAAAGTCAAATTGGCTGCATACGTTGCATGTTTAAAACTATTTCTCATCTGATACTTATAGAAAGTTGATTTAAGTGCCCTTATTCATGTTTAGGGGTCAATGAACATATGAGCAATGATTATATAATTAAGGTGCATGTATGATTTAATACTTTCTTTAGAGTAGCTCACAATATACGTCACGGTGTTGCCAATTTATGTGTGCTTGATTACAACTTTAAAAAATCATAATTTTCTTTAATATTTCTTCTTGTATTTTGCTCAAACCTTCACTGATCTGTTTCTTTAATTTTTCTGCTTCTGTTAAAACCAACTTCTAATCAGGGTGGACCTCTCATTAAAGTTTGGTGTTTTAACCATTTTCTTTGGTTAACAAACTTGACTGTACCATTTACTTCAATTCAATTCGTTTATTCGTCCATGTAAAAATATAAAAATAAGCTTCAGTCATATAGCGTGATGGATTTAAAGCAATTATAATGAGTTTAGTGTATAAAAATGTAATGGCAAGTCAAACCATTCAAAAGGGGATATGACCCGATTCTGATAACTAAAATCTTTTGCTTGTAAATACACAGGATATGGGTTAATTAACACTCAAAGAAACCAGACTTTCAAATTGAAAAACCCCCGGAATGATATTAAGGACGGCATTTGTTCCCTCTTGAAACGCCGAAAAATACCCCGGTGTGTGCAGCTGAATATACAATGGCGTCTTATTTTGTTTACAAGCGACACATTCCTTTAGTTTTGTATCGCTGCATTTGTCATCAAAATAAAAACATGCGCGGGGTTTAGAGTGAGGCAATAGATTATACATTTAGCCTGAAGGTAGTGAAGTAAGAGAAAGAACTCAAGAGAAGATGAAAACACAGGCACTGAACATGTGTGAGATGTCATGGGACATCGTCTGCTTGTGCAAATCATGTCCATACTGTGATCTCACACATCTTAGCAGCGTTCAGAGAACTCTTCAGGTGCTATTCCGGGGCTGTATTTAAGCGTTTTGAAATTTATAATAATCAGTACTTCGAATGTTTCCAAGCATTGAATTTTGATATCATTGTTGAATCAAAGTTTCAACTTTGCAATAATGAAAATAGAGTAAGTTTTTAGAATTAATGAATATCTACTTTAATTTCTGTCTCCCTTACAGCTTTGACGATAAGAGACACGATATTAAAACCGTCTGTGTTTCTTTCATCACTGTACGTGGATGAAAATAAAGTTATTTTTTAAAATCAATGAATATCTACTTTAAGCAAAATGACAAGGCTCACCTAGTGTTCAGAAAATTAGAATGGTTCTTAACAGTTTGCTAGGAATGCTTTCTGATTAAAATAAGGACCTATGCATTTATACCAAATACAACTTGATGACACTAATTTGCAAAGTAGAAAGAAAATCATGAAAACAAATGAGCATCCATATTAGAATATGATGCATTTATCAATCATTGGATGTAAGGTGCAAATGTTTATGGTTGATTATCTGGCAACCTGTGGATAAAAATAAGAATTAGAAGTTGTGCTTCTTAATGTCTCAACCATTTTGCAAAAGTATCTACCATTTACATTTATATTTCTTCCAAGAAAAGTGCTGCTTCAAGGCCTTGAAGATTGCGCACTGTGTGTGTATGTGAGGAGCCTGTGTGAGCCTGCTGGCCAGGATCCTTGTGCATATATGTACAGGGTGCAAGTAAAAACTTTTAATCCTGTGGGGGCAGTTAGGGGTGCTTAAATGCCTCAAGGGAGAGTGAGCAGGCTGGATCTACTGGAAGGTTGTTCCAGTCCTTGGTAGTTCTGGGGAAGAAGGAGATGATGTAGGCTTGGCTAGTGCACAGTGTCGCTCCGAAGCGGAATCCGTGACCTCTTGTTACAGATGTTGCTGCCTTAAGGTATTGTTGCCATTCAATGTCAACAAGACCAAAGCGGATGCGATACAGCATTGCAAGATGGCTTTGCAGACATCTACTAACTAGCGAGGGCCATTTTACTTTCTTCATCATAGATGTAACACTGCTGGTACGATCGAAGTCGCCACAGACCTACCACGCACTCCTGCATTGAACCATTTCGACCTTGTTGATGTTTCTTTGGGTGTGTGGATCCCATGCTGTTGCAGCATACTCCACTATGGGCCTAGTGTATGTGACATACGTAGCCTCCTTGATCTTGTGGTTGCAGTGTCGAAAGTTACGGCGCAGGAAGGCACAGACAGAGTTAGCCTTCTTGACTGTGGCATCTACATGGGCATGGGCGTCAATCCTGGGGGGACGGGGGGGGGGGGGACACGTCCCCCCCCCACGAATTTTCAGGTGGTGAAATGTCCCCCCATGATTTGGGGTTTAAATATTTTTTTTTTGTTCTCTCTTTCTCTCTTTCTCTCTGTGTTGAGAAAAATCAAGCAAAATCAGGCGATCAGATTTTATTAAAAGAAGCGTCATTAATATTACATTCACATTACCGGAAGTACAAACATTGGTTACGATGAAGACAAAAAATCTTTTCACCAACTGAAAAAAAAATCTCCCTTGTATCTTCCAAACCTTATGGCTGATTGTTCAATGGAAACGACAAATTCATCCATCTACCCCCTTGCATTCTTGTTCCTGTTATTTGATCTTAAGACTGTTTTCTCTTTAATTTGGCAAAAATTATGCCCCAAATCAAGCCATCTATCCATCAATTAAAAAAAAAATCTTTAACTTCTGAGGGGGGCACATCCCCCCAACAGACACCCCCTGCGTTCTTGTTCCTCGTTAATTGAACTTAAGACTTGTTTTCTTTTTAATTTGGCAAAAAGTATGCACCAAAGCGAGCCATTTAAGCATAAATTTGAAACAAAATCTTCAACTTCTGAGGGGGCACATCCCTTCAGACATCCCCCCCCCCCCCTGTGTGGCGCAGCCCATTCGCCTCCCTAACAAAATAACCTGGCGCCGCCCTGTCTGAACTTGTGTCCCCCCACTCCACGGTCTAATTTGGATTGACGCCCATGTACATGGGCATTGAAGTTCAGCTTCTGATCAATGTGGACCCCGAGGTACTTGGTTGAGTTGACCTGCTCCAGCTGATGACCATGGATGGTGTATTGGCCTAGGAGTGGCTTCTTCTTGTTGGTCACTCGCAAGACCTGGCACTTGGAGGGATGGAATTCCATCTTCCACGTCTTCTCCCAGTCCTGGAGCCTGTCTAGATCTTCTTGCAGTTTGTCACAGTCCTGGATCGATCTGATTGGTTTGTAGAGCAGACAGTCGTCAGCATAAAAGCGTGTGGTTGAATGCCTAATGCAATCTTGTAGGTCATTGATGTAGATCAAAAATAACAATGGACCTAGGACGCTACCCTGGGGTATGCCAGATGTGACCTTGGCTTCCAAGCTGAGTTGGCCCTCCAGTATGACTTGTTGGGTACGGCCAGTCAGGAAGTTCTCGATCCACTGAAGAGTAAGGCCGTGTATACCACAATGTTTGGCTTTGAGAAGGAATCGTTTGTGAGAGACCTTGTCAAAGGCCTTAGCAAAGTCTAGTACGATTACATCATACTGACCCGTGTCTTCCAGTCCTCTAGCAAGGTCATGGATGGTGAGGGTCAGTTGTGTCTCACAAGAACGGCGCTTCCGAAAGCCATGCTGATTGTCAGATAGAATGTCATGATGGATGAGGTGGTGGATAACTGCACAGTGAACAACATACTCACACAGCTTGCATACGATCGCAGTCAGTGAAATCGGCCTGTAGTTACCCGGGGATGACTTGCAGCCCTTCTTGTGGATGGGAACTACAAGTGCCTTCTTCCACATCGATGGAACGCATCCTTGATGAAGGGAGGCTTGGAAAAGCAGGGTGATCGCAGGGGAGATCTGATCGGCAGTTTCCTTCAACATTCTGGCAGAGATTCCGTCTGGCCCTGTTGCTGTTACTCGACAAAATCAAAATTGTTTTTGCAACCACTGGATTATTTATTTGGAATGGACCAGTCATCTGCCAGAGCACAAAAATTGTGTTGGATTCAAAGAATAAAAGAAGCCGATAAACAAGGATGGTTTCAAATTCTTCAATTGTATCTTTAAAAGAACAGTAGTTTGTTCCTGCTTAACTGTAACTATGGTTATAAAATGTTAGACAAAAACATTCCTAAGTTCTACCAAGCTATTTTCCTTGACCCCCTAAACATGAATAAGGGCACTAAAATTAACGTTCTATAAGTATCAGATGAGAAATAGTTTTAAACATGCATCATATTATGGCAGCCAATTTGACTTTTATATAAAAAAGGGTTAATTATATGCAAATGTATGCAAACTAAGAGTCAATGAGTAGTTCTAAGCTGCTGATAATGCTATAATCATGTTCCTTGACCCCCTAAACATCGGTAAAGACACTTCGTTTAGCTTTCTATGTGTATCAGATCTAGAGATATAGTTTTAAACATGAAAAAATGGTAGCAATTTAGAATTTAAAATGGGTTAATTATATGCAAATTTATGCAAACTAGGAGTCAAGGAGTAGTTCTAAGCTGCTGATAATGATATAATCATGTTCCCTGACCCCTTAAACATGGATAAGGGCACTAAAATCAACTATCTATAAGTATCAGATGAGAAATAGTTTTAAACATGAACAAATGGCAGCCATTCAGAATTTAAAAGGGGTTAATTATATGCAAATTTATGCATACTTGGAGTCAAGGAGTAGTTCTAAGCTGCCGATAATGCCATAATTATGTTCCTTGACTCCCTAAACATGGATAAGGGCACTAAAATCAACTTTCTGTAAGTATCAGATGAGAAATAGTTATAAACATGCAACATGGCAGCCATTTTGACTTTAAAAAGGGTTAATTTTATGCAAATTTATGCAAATTAGGAGTCAAGGAGTATTTGTAAGCTGCTTATAATGCTATTATCATGTTCCTTGACCCCAAAACATTGGTAAAGACTCTTCGTTTAGCTTTCTATGTGTATAAGATCTAGAGATATAGTTTTAAACATGAACAAATGGCAGCTATTCAGAATTTAAAAGGGGTTAATTATATGCAAATTTATGCATACTTGGAGTCAAGGAGTAGTTCTAAGCTGCCGATAATGCCATAATTATGTTCCTTGACCCCCTAAACATGGATAAGGGCACTAAAATCAACTTTCTGTAAGTATCAGATGAGAAATAGTTATAAACATGCAACATGGCAGCCATTTTTACTTTAAAAGGGTTAATTTTATGCAAATTTATGCAAATTAAGAGTCAAGGAGTAGTTGTTAGCTGCTGATAATGCTATAATCATGTTCCTTGATCCCCCAAACATTGGTAAAGACACTTTGTTTAGCTTTATATGTGTCACAGATCTAGAGATATAGGCTGAAATAGGTTTTGTGTGTCTACCAGGGTCTGACATGGCGGCCATTTTGAATTTATGCAAATTAGGCACTGATCCACCACTTCAATTTTTGTCAACTTTGAGTATGTTGTTTTCATGGCTACTCCAGATTATATGCAAGTGGAATCATTTCTGTTGCAATTAGTTCTTGGTTTTTTCCTATTTTGACTGTACTATACTCCTTTTGACAACTGAGTAGAAGGACACTGATACATACAGTCCAGTTTGAAATACATGAATTAATTACAAGACCACCCTCCAAAGATTGTATTTATTTATGCTAATCTTAGCAGCCCTTTTATAACCTTCATCTCAAAAAGTATAATAAATGAGCTACATGTACATGATAGTCCCTATACATATGTGTATGTCATTTTTTTGTTTTAAAGATGTATCAATTGCACATTGCTTTTGTAAATGATTATTAATGCCATTTCTTTCTCGTTTATTCACTTTCCTTTCTCTTGTATCTGCCATCTGCTATGCTGTGACATCCTCTTACTATACATAGGCTCAGGTAAGTAGTAGAACAAACTTTTCTGAGTGTTTCTTGCAATGCTTCCTTGAAGCTAGTTTGATGACACATTGTTATCTACTCAGTAGAGTTATAAAAAACTATAAGTTACTGTTTAGATTGTTAATGTTATCTAAGCCTTTTTTTGAAGATATTCATCATATGGCGAGTACATGTACATCATAAGCTCAAACTCATTTTCCCTGGAATGCTATAAAAGCAAAGGGGTTGTTAAAGCAAATATCCACACTAGAACATCAGCAAAAGAGAAAGTAGATCCTACCATGGATAATATTGTATTTTTCATGTTACAATTTTGAATGGAAGATAACATATCTGTGCACCATTCCTCTTTGCCAAATGCCAGTGTAACCAGTGGAATGCATTTGCTTTGCAGTCCATAAGATTCTGATCTCAGTTCAATGCAAGCCAATCCAGGATTTGCTGAGCACCAATAAAATCAGCAATTTGATGATGAAAGGTTTTAAGAGTGAAGTAAATAATCCTATTCTCTCCTTGTTCCCAATGACAGCATGTTTTTAAGAAGATGCTTTATGGGCTGTGCTTCTTCCATGCCTTGGTGCAAGAGAGGCGTAAGTTTGGCCCCTTAGGATGGAACATCCCTTATGAGTTCAACGAAACTGATCTGAGAATCAGCGTCAGGCAGCTTGCTATGTTCCTCAATGAGTATGAGGTGAGAAACATATACAGATCTAAGATGTCCAAATTATTTGCATTTATTGATTCATTCGTCTCCATTTGATTTACGTTTAGGCATCACTTTATTTTCTGTATTATTGTTTGCAATTGCATGAATACGTGTTATTGCAAATGCAATTCAATCTGATTCATGACATAATTTAATATGTTCACAAATAAGCTATTTATTAGTTTTTCAGGAAATGTTTGATCAATCTAACATGCTAGCAGATGCAGGAAGTGATATGTATTATCTGACCCCCATTTAAAACTACATTGGTTGTACATTTGATGGCGCTTTGCCCTTGTCAATGACTGTATTCCAATGATTGATTTATACATTTGTCTTTCATATTTAGAAAATCCCATACGATGCGTTGAGCTACCTGACAGGCGAATGTAACTACGGTGGTCGTGTGACAGACGATCGTGATCGTCGCACACTTCATACCATCTTGGATAAGTTCTACGTACCAAGCATCGTAGATGAATCTTATAAATTTGATTCCAGTGGAACATACTATGCCCCTCCGGCTGGAGATGTAAGTTTTTTCATTGTTATATCCTGCTAGTGTTACTTTTGGCTTAGTTTTCAAAAATAGCATGCAGCACATAACTTGTTTTGATAATTGAATACAGCATAACATAAAACATTCATATTAATGGTTTGAGCAATATACCTCAATTTGGTAGAAATCGTGCATACATATATATTTATTGCTCATTGTTACTTCATTTGTATTTTCAAGCTTGCTTAACTTTTGAAGATGTCATGATCAGAAAATGTCTTGTTAGCATTTATCACTCAAAAGACGACAAACAGAAAATACTTCGCAAATTCTTTGAATTCACATGCTTGTCATGTATGACAAATTTTAAAGTCACTTTTCATGAAATCAAGCACTTTGGTAGCCAATATTTCTTTCTTATTTCTAATGATAGCTTGCAATTATTTAATTTCTCTATAAATTTTTTTTTTTTCTTCCCGACATCCAGTATGAAAGCTACTTGACGTTCACCAAGAACCTTCCCATCATCCCTCACCCGGAGGTGTTTGGTATGCATGCAAACGCTGACATCACCAAGGATCAGTCCGAGACAAAACTCTTGTTTGATAACATCCTTCTTACTCAGGTAAGAACTACTGCACAGCTAATCTAATTGCTCCGTCCATTTTCAAAAATAGAGATTGAATCGAGTGGTATATACTGAGATAGCTCCTTCTCAAACAGCATCATAAGTGACTTGAGGCATATCGTTACCGTCTGGAAGATGTGTGTATGGAAGAACTCATCCTAAAATATTTAGTTTACAAATAATGGCAACTATTAATCTCAAGATCTGTTGTACTTCAGAAAAGAAGTAGATCCCATCATCTTTGTTATACTCAACCCAATGAGCATGCTTGTAGATGATATAAAGTGCATTAAACCATTTTAGTCAAAAGTTGAGAATACTGCAGGATTAGCCATGCGTACAATAATGGCAATGTATGGATGGATTGATCCTTGAATTGGCTTGAATGACCTAATTATAAATGGGAATTGTTAAACTCTCATTTTACCAGGTAGGGAGGGTATATTGGGTAAAAGTACTCTTATACCTTTTCCTCTCTTTACTATTTTCTTTCTCAAGCCCTGTTTAGAATCTTTCTTTAATCCTTCTTTGAAATATCTATAGTCCTAGGCACGTCATCTAGTATGAGCCACCTCTATCTATCTTGATCTAAATTCTTGTAAATGCTGCAAATGAAATTAATTTTCCTTTCATCCTGTCTTATACATGTATCCAGTCTCATATTTATGTACCTACTCTGATAGGCTGTCTGTCTCTTGCTCAAGGTCTTTCAAAATTTCTAATACTACCTTTATATCTTTCTTCTTTGTGCTTATTAATTGATTAATTGTACCATCCAATTGTGTCATATCATTACGTTTCTTCTTTCCAAGCATTTCTCTTTTCATCCGTCTCCTAATATTTATTCTCATTCTTATATATATATATATATATATATATCTTTCTCTTTAATGCACATGTACCCATAACTGTCAATCTTTTCAAACTGTCTCTTTGTCTTTCTCTGTCTGATACTTTCTTGCTTACATACTGAATGTTCTTGTGCTGCATGTATGATGTTCATCATCTATATACTCTTTTCACATCTCATCACAATCTGCTTGCTATTATCACCTCCAACTGCACCTCTCTGACTAAATCATCTCAACAACAACAGCAACAGGTTGGTAGTCTTTCATCTTCTCTTTCCTACACCCTCTCTCTTTCTCTCTGTCCCTCTCTCTGTCCCTCTTCTGTCTCTCTATTACTCCTCCCCCTCTCTGCATGTCTTTCTTTCTATTTTCATCTATTCATCTTTATATTTCTTTACATTCTTTTGCCACTGGGCTATTAATTGTCCTATCTTTAATTGCCATCTTGAAACTAATATTTTTTTTCAGAATCATTAACAATTTTTCTTACCCATATTTATTGTGCTTCAATTTAATATTTCATCTTGTCTTTTTTAACTTATTCTATTTCATTAACAATCGTTATGCAGCTTTTTTTTTCTGACTAACAATTTCAAATCTAATTTATCTGATAGCTTGTCAAAGGAACGCATTTTGTTTTGGTCCCCTTTGATATTTCACAAAATGGATAGGTCATAGTATTATGTAACATGAATTAAAGGCAGTGTGTATAGAGAAATTTGATATCAAATATTTATTAATAAATGTATGACCTATTACAGGAGCACTTCATTTAAAATTGAACCCAAACTTATATCAACCAAATGCACAGTATAATTCATAATACTGCAACAATATCCCTTTTCATGTTTTTTGCACCATTTATTTAAGAGATGATATTTCATTTACTCCCACTGGCACATGACCATATTTGAAGCGCATTTTGAGTATATTGGACCTAAATGTGCAACAATCATTATCTCACAGTATTTAAGGATATCAGCAGTAAATGTGCGTTCTGTAAGTGTAGGACTTATTATCTGTATATTTTTCATGTGATGATCGAACCTATTCAGTAATGGATATTGGAAATTCATTTCTTGTATGGATTTGTGTATATACTATTGTCATTGTATGTTGTATGTCAGATTACCATTATCCCCTGTAAGATATCTTTGTGTTCCCAAATGGCTAGCTAGCCCAAGATGTGAAGGAAATATTGAGGTATTCTTTGCTGAAAACATGCTTGATCGGTGATGATGATGACATGTTCCATTCAGAAAATATGTGTGCAAACAAAATTCAAGACAAAGTATCTTCTCATGGTTTTAATTCAAGTTTTAAATTGTTCTCCCTTTTGTTGTGAGATTTGAGTAGTGTTGAGGCAAGTTTTCAGAGCTCTATACCGCTAACAGGTTATCTCATTGTAGAAAGGTGTTGATATGTCAGTGATTTCATAAATGTTAATTTTTGTTCACTTCATTTGTTTCCCCTTTTCCCATTTTATTCATGCTACACGCCCCCACCCCAACTTCTTATCATGAACATATGGTTATATGCATGGTTTACTGTGTGACATGCCTGTGTGAAATGACCCCTTCTCTGTCGGCCCCACCCCTTTGTGCCCCTCCCCCCTCCTATCCTCTTCTCACCCCCATCCCTGACCCTGCCTGTCATGGACTATTTAAATCCAAACCCCTAATTCTCAACATCAGGCTCAGGTATTGTATGATGTTTTGAGATCTCGGGTGTGATGGGTTTTTTAATCTCTATTTGTAATGAAGAAGATATCTGATTTACACTTGGTTATGTATGGTGATGGTTTTATTTTAGATGCCTTGAATACTAACAACCAAAGTTTGAACTAACCTTTTACATTTTTTTTAAAGGCTTATTTTTTAAAAGCTTTATTCTAGCTGCATGGGTAAATGCATCGTCAATCAGAATTGAGAAGGAATTAATTACCTAATATTGCATGGACAGGTTATTTTTTAAAGTTTGAAAATCATTCAAAGCTATTAATCAGTCAACTTATCTATTGATTTGTTTACAAACAGAAAACGAATACAATACATTTTCATATCAAAATATCTAACATTGGTTTGTTAAAGGGACAAGATAATTGTATGCACTACATCTAGTTGAGCCTGACCCCTCTTAGCAAAGCAATATGTTTTTATTGTAATTTTAATGTTAAAAACAAGAAAGTGTATTATCACATCATTTAGTACAAATCATTTCTTGTATAAGGAAGGAAACATGCAAACTGCATAATGCCCAGTAGATTAACTTACAACGATATTACCATTACTGTTTTGCACCTTATTATTTTTGATGTTTGCTTGTTGAGACCTGTTCTAGAGTCTTTATTTACTCCATTATGAAAGTGAATTTAAAATGTTATTAACAAAGCACTGATTTTGGTTTTGTGGGAATTGTGTTGCACATGGTGATATGTTATACCACAGTATGCACATTTATGCTGGAGCTAGTTAAGGAAAACACACATACACTATTTATCTTGGTAATCACCTACTGCACCATCAGAAGGACGTTAACTCATATATAAGTTTACAAGGAGTTAATACCCTTCTGGCTCTGAGCTCATGATATCAATTATGAGTAGTTTGATGTTAAATTATAAACATACTTGTTATGTACTGAAGGATTTTTTGCAAAAAATGCTGCTACAATTTTGTTTTAATAATATCAGAACAATCTGAATTCATTCAAATTCTGTCAGAATGTAATTAAAGTGTTCATGTATATTGTATTTAATGTTTTGATTGTCCCATACTAATATAAGTTTATTGTGACACATATTTACACTTTCATTTTGCTCACAAAAAAAAGGAATAAAGTTGAAATGTTCACATGTCTGCACTTCACGTACACAGTAGCCACACTAAGTTATGAATTAAGCATACATCACATTACATAGAATTTGTTAATGATTAAAATATCAGTGCATTGGGCAGAAATTTGAGTTAAAGGTGCACATCTAATACATATTTCTGAATGCAAGAAATAAACAGTGACTAAAATGTAAGAAATGTTATGCCTGAGACGAGTGATGTGAAATCTTTCAAAGTAATGCATGGCATGGATACTAATCTATATTAATTAGCTTTTTTTTAATACAAATGAACATAAAACTGCACTTCATTAATAAAAAGAAAAACATAATGGTAGCTTTTTTAAGATGACAATTTTACCAAATGTTGCATCCCAGCTACCATACTCACATTGTAATAAAAGTTTTCTAGCTCTGTTTATATGCATACAGATTTTTTTCAGTTTATTTGCTATAATTGATAGTAGTCACGTGGAATAGCTTGTAGATTGTAGGAAATTTGTGTAACGAACTAATGTTCATACTTTTTCTTTGTGATTCCACAGTCTCGTTCTTCAGGCGGTGGTGCCAAGTCCAACGATGACATCGTCAATGATGTTGCAGCAGACATCTTGGCCAAGCTACCCTCACTGTTTGACATCGAGGCTGGACTACGCAAGTATCCAACCACCTATACACAGAGTATGAACACTGTACTGGTACAGGAGATGGGAAGGTTTAACAACCTCCTGGCTGTGGTACGATCAAGTATCATCAACATCCAGAAAGCTATCAAGGTACGTTTTCTCTTTCACAGCCTGGCTGCACATTTTACGTGTCTTTATTTAGATTATAGGTGTATAATGCAATATTATATTGGGTGCTCTCACATTTATCTGGGGACACTTGCTATGGGTATAGCCTTGTCACAGATACAAGGTTTGGGTAGGGCCCTTTGACCTCGGAGTGGGGGGGGGGGGGATAGGGAATAGGGTAAGGGTTGTGATCAGGTTTTAGGTAATTCTAGCTATATATCACCATCAAACACCATGATCTTCAGAAATTGAGATGGTGTAGGATGTTAGCAAGAGCAAATGTCATTGGAGCTGGTGTCTTACAACTTATTCCAGTAAAAACAAACTTTGGCTTTTGCATAATACTCTATCACAGTAATAGCTAGCAACGGCCAAAAAAGGAAACTTATTGTCATTCATGTAGTTCTGCAAACAGCTACTTTCTTTTGTAATGTAAAAAAAGATATCATTTTCAACATTAAAGATATATTTCTTTGTTCTTCTGTGTGTGTTTGTGTCTGGTGTATCTCAGGGCCTGGTGGTGATGTCTTCGGAGCTTGAGGATGTGGCTAACAGCATCTTGAAGGGTAGGATCCCGGGAATGTGGATGAACAAATCTTACCCCTCACTCAAACCTCTTGGCAGCTACGTCAACGACTTCTTGACTAGACTCAAATTCCTTCAGGTAAGCCCACCATGAACTTTCATTCTAGTGTGTTCTGCATGAGTTGGAGTTGCAAGACATTAATCTACATTTGCCACTCTCCACCCAGGTGAGGTAAATGTGTACCCATTCTGAGGAAACTCCTAGAATACTTTAGCACCTTTTCATGGCTGCTCAGCTGCAGATGGGGTAATAATGTGATACTTGTATTGAAGCCCCACTGCACTACTTATAGCTACTTGCGCCCTCTTTATAGCATACAATGCCTAATCAGTACCTGTTGGTCCCCCATGATCCCCTTTTTCTTATGTTAATTGAGATCTGATTTGATGAGAAAACCACCTGTCCTTGACTTTGCAGGGAGGTTTAATCCCCACTGGCCAAACTAGTGCAGAAGGGCTTTAAATGCAATAGTTTATATGTTTATATATGTATATATATATATTCATATTGTAGCTGGTCTATATAAATGGTCACATTATTATTTATTAAACTATCATTATCCATCTGATGTTGTTTCTCAGGACTGGTATGATATTGGACCTCCACCAGTGTTCTGGATGTCTGGTTTCTTCTTCACCCAAGCCTTCTTGACCGGTGCCCAGCAGAACTACGCCAGGAAGTTCACCATCCCTATTGATCTCTTGGGCTACGACATGGAAGTCCTTGATGACAAGAAATATGAAACGCCACCTGAAGACGGTAAGCAACTGATTGGAATACGTTTCTTTTGTAGCTGTCAATATTTAGGATCAAGTAGAATTTATAAAGTACAGTCAAAACTGTCTATAGTGACCACCCAAGGGAAACACAAAAAGTGGTCTTTGTAGACAGGTTCCTTTAGTAAATGATTCAATGAGAATCCATTTTCAAGGGCAACAACAAATGTGGCCTTTGTAGACAGGTGGTCAGTAAAGCAGGTTTGGCTGTACGTAGTTGGTAGAGGGAGAACAAGTGGTAGCATGAGGAGAACTAGTAGCGTGGAAGCCAAAACAGGAGTAGAAGTAGTAGTTGTAGCAGCAGCAGTGGAAGTAGAGGTAGTGGCGATGGTAGTGGTAGTGGTAGGAGCAGAGGTAGTAGTAGTAGCAGGGTTAGTATCAGTGGTAACAGTAGTAGTAATAGTGGTAGCAATAGTAGCAATAGTGGTATTGTTATTGGTAGTGGGAGTGGTATAGGTTGTCGTAGTTGTAATGATAGTGTCAATGGTATTAGTAATGGAACATGTATTGGTAGTAGCAGTGGTAGTATTAGTGTTAGTGGTAGTGATAGTAGCAGCGTCAGTGCAAGAAGCAGTAAGTTCAATCAAAGTAAAATGAATTCTTTATAGAAATATAAACCTTCTGATATTTCATATTTCATATATCTCATATTTCAGGTGTGTATGTGAGAGGCTTGTTCATGGAAGGTGCACGATGGGATAGAAAGACACGACAGATTGGAGAGTCTTATCCTAAGGTTCTCCATGACACAGTGCCTGTGGTAAGTATTACTCTTATCCCCTATTCAAAGCATAGTTTAAATACCCACTCTTGATGTAATATGAATTTCCTACTTTCAGGCGTAAGTGTTTTGGGCTGAAATATTCACATTGTGCATAATTTTCATTGTTTTAGAAAACATTTTCAGCTGGTTTATAAAATAATTTTTAAATTGATTTTCATGATCGAAAGTTGAAATACATGGAAAGAGAGTAGAATGACTGCCAAGAAAATAAAAATGGAAAAATGGACCTTATTTACTTACTTATCTATTCAGTATTTTTTAAACAGGGTAGCCCCATTAGCAGTTAAAATATTGTTGTCTTTGGGGGCCATGATTATATTTTGGATAAAATCACTAATTCCTAAGGATGCATTTTCAATTCATTATAAAACATGGACCATGTCATTTTCATCCTCATATTCTCTCTCCAGATCTGGATGAAACCGATGAAGCGTTCCGAGCTACCTGATAAACCAGTCTACGAGGCGCCTCTGTACAAGACCAGCGAGCGAAAGGGTACACTCTCAACAACTGGTCATTCTACCAACTTCGTCCTCATGCTCAAGATCCCCACCGAAAGGCCAGAGACTCACTGGGTTGCTAGGGGCGTGGCCTTACTTTGTCAGCTGGATACATAGATTACTTCTAACATACCTTGAAATTAATTCCTGTTTGGAAAAATTGATTAACGGAGTTTACAAAAACAACACATGCAACAACCTGGTCTAGGATTTGTTTTAAAAAATATTTTAAAAACAATGATTTTGTCATTTTGATTGGTGCATATAAGTAATAACCTTGCAGTGAATAATTGTTTCGAATAGGTTTCAAGCAGGTCATTTGATAAAGTTCTTAAAACTGAAATCTGCATTTTCAAAAAAATTGCCCCCATATACAGGCATTTTTCAATTCATCGCATATTTTTAAATCAAAGAATATGACATTAACTTTTTGTTGTTGCTGTTGTTGGAAAGAATTTATTTGAAAAAATCATTGTTCATGAGAATGACTAGATTGAATGTGAAGAAATCAAATAAAAGATGGGGCCTTGCAGCGTATATTGACATTAAATATTACCCCCAAAAAGAAATGATAGATTTTATAAATGTAATTTCAACCACTTTATGAATAAATTACCAAAGTTATAATTGAATTGTGTGTCATGATAGGTATTCCTTACATAGTTTATGCTGTAGCAGCAAGTAAATTAATCTAAAAGATGAATATAATTATATATAAATCTATTTTTTTTTCTCACATTAAGAAAATATTTGTGTGATTTTTTTTTCAATATTCAGTCTATTTTCCACCAAAGATATTCTTGATACACATATGAAGTCCTCCAATGTTATTTGAAGTATTGCACTTAAATATCAACCATCTTTGGTGCAGCTGAAAAGCTTGTAAACATTTTGTAATATTCTGAAAACGATAGCAGCTTCAGTTTTATACTGTGACTTGTTTCCCCCAAAGTGATATATGAATTTATATTGTAAACAAATAATTAATATATGTTTGTATTTGTATATAAGATGGCGACACATTCTTAAAGCCTGTGAATATGGCACATGTCATTGAATAGTATACACTTATACTTATTTAAAGAGAATGTTATTTACTTTGAGACTTTGAGAGGTGTTATGTAAATAAAAAACATTTCAGTAGTTGTGAGATGCAATGTGGCCTGAGTGGACGTGTAGTGTAAGAAATATCAAAAAGGTTTCATGAATGCCTTGATAAAATGTTTCAAATATGTGCCGGCTTTCTAATTTAGAGGTTTTGAGAGAAAGTCTATTGTGACATATAACTTATTTTAAAATTGGTGAAAAGGTTTGTGTTATCCAGACTTATTTTGTTATAAGCTAGTGAAATCCTTGCTTCTGATTGGTTATCAGCAGATTTATCACTGATTTTATCATTTGTCATTGAAAAAAGCCTCTGTGAAACGGGTCCCTGGACCAAGTGCATTGTTGAAGATATATTTTCTAGGATGAGACGAAGAAACGCAAGGTCAAGATATTGTACTTCAAAAAGGAATAATAAATTTGATAATATATGTACATTGATGCAGTGAAATAAACTTATATTCCAGAAATGTAGGTCATTTATAATGACAAAATGAAATCCATTAATATTCCTTGAATGATTACTGTACATGTTATATGTAGATATTAACATAAATATAAGCTGTCAATTTGAGTCGGCAAAATGAATGAATGAATGTCATAAATGTATTTAATATATGTATATATACAATATGACTTTTATTTTGAAGTGACACAAGTGTGTATGAATGAAACTAAAGTTTGACTGACATAATCAATTTGGTTTGATTGCTTTGAAGTCCAAAATAGCATGCTGAATGAAGTTCAAAATGATGACAAATTTAGTAGAAAAGGAAGATTTATAGTTGGAACTTCAATGAATATCTGAAGAAAGTTGAAGATTTAAGCTGTGATGTTAAAGAATTGTCTGTAAAAAAGTGTATATATCAGCACTATATTCAATATGTCAATATTATATATGGTGTACAGTAGTATTCTGCTATTGGCCTGTCAGCTCTACCGTATGCATCTGTATTCTACCATCCGTCCTGTCATATTTGAAGTATTTTTGAGATAATGAATTTTAAATGATCACTAAACCTTGATTCTTCAATTTCAAACTCTATACACACTGCATCTGAAACCGTCCATTTTCATACATAATATATTATTCAATTTGTGAGTATATGTTTATTGATTCAGTATATTTTTATGAAAAATGTATGTACATGTATGTATATATTGTGATGTGAATTTATTGTAAGACTATTCCTAATACTTAAAATTGGTTTCTTGAAATAAACATAAAATTATTATAACATTCTATGAAGAAACAAGGTTTCTTCATATCGAAAGACTTAAATATATAACTTTCAGACCACCACATGCAAATCCATCTATTGTAATGATTTGAGATTTATTTTTTGTACATATATTATTCTAAGTTGAACCTTTGTATGCCGTTTTGAATATCAGTTTTATTTCCCAATAAAGTCAAGCACGAAACAAACAGTTTGTTCTTTCTTTTTCTGTTCAAGACAGCAGTATTCATTATTTAATTGTTCATAATTCTTCTTAATAAATTTACAGAGTTGAATGAACAAATTATATAGTTACATAATTTGTAAACATTTATAAACATGAACATAGATGATCAGACTAATAGGCAAACAGGGAGAAACGCCCCTCTTCCCTCCCACCCACAAAAAAGATGAAATAAATTTTAAAGAAATTAAATATTAGTAATAATTGCATGACAAGATGATAATATCACAACTGCTTGTACATGTTTTTAACTTTCAATTTTCAGTAATGGACCCCCCCCCCCCTGGGTCTACTTAATACTAGCATTTTTTTCGAAACCACTTGGAATGTAAGCATCGGTATCATTTCTTTAAATTTTTTGCCACGTTATTCCCTAGATCCTATACAAACATGCAGAAACAACAATTCTTATCACTGAATATCATTTCTTATACAGTGTTCATTCATTTTCTTTCTTCTCCTCGGGAGGTTACAAACTCTGACATTCATAGACAATTTTCATTGTCAATACAAAATGTGCATAAGTAATGTAAATTGAACAAACAGGCCTTCATATAGACCTTCAATGAAGTTCCAAGAACATACATGCAACACATAGATCAATACCTATGAACGCATTTTCATCGTTCTCACTCTCTGCACTCAACCGTACATGCCTGTGGGTGTGTATCTCATTTCAAGTCTAGTGCTTTTGAACACAGAAGAAACCAGGGTAAAAAATCTCTAAACATGATCTGCAGCGTTGTTCTCATATCATGCTGTATAACTGGCAAAAAAGTAACCTATGGGAACAAAATTACAATTTTTTGGGGGGTTAATGGAAAGCAGGGTTTGATAAAAAAAAATCTATGCAATAAAGGCCCTTTAGCATACCGGCTTATCTGTGTGTTATAAGATACAGATATGTGAAGTGCACTAATATGCTCATGTCCTTTTATTTGGTAATAGAAGGTTTTGGGGTGGTTTACTCAGTCGGATGTGAACGAAACTTTATAAGCCAGTTCGTAAATACTATCTGTGGATGGGCAGATGAAGGTCATTTGTTCCCAAATTGTAAAACCCATAGAGACGAATACTGGTATCGTGCTCATGACAGTTATGTAATCAGTATTCATTTATGCACCGACGGTACATTTATCTGATACACAGGTGGAAGTATTCTTCTCAAGAGGCAAACAAAAGATATTCATGGAGCACCTCCATCACTTCGGCAGTAATTATTCTAAAATGCACAAGTGGGACGTATCCATCGTGTAAAAGATCTGTGGATATTTTGGGGTCATGCGTACCGAAGCTATTTACGAACTGGCTTATTGAGCCAGAAATCTTAAATAGACAAAGGAATGAATTGAGAACTAATTACCATTGATGAGGTCTGAAGAGTTAATTTAACAACCCAGCTTGGTTACAAGTCATTCCACAGTAAAGAATTACTTAGAAGTCCTCCATGCAACTACAAATCAGTCACAGAAGATGTTTATTTGGCCAAGATTCCTTTCCTTCTGATATGAAAAGTGTGGCACATGATTCTCCAAACTTCATGCTCATGATCACTGATGAGTCCATATAAATCATTGCAAGTATATTCGTCACAAGCTGAGGGATTTCCTGACTAGTTCCCCTGCTATCCTGTAGAACTTTTCCCGATCATCTCTCCACATCTTGGACGCATCTACATTAGCACCGCTCTCATCATTGGGTTCTGAGGAAGGAATACGCAACATTAATTACTTTACACAAAACTACAAATGTTGCACTTAACATTTGAAACCTGCTAGAAGTTGATAAAAGCTCCCTCAAAACCTTGGTTTCATTTCAGCTGAATTAGATCAATTGCCTACAAATGACACTGCCTTTCAGCTAATCTTGTGCTCTAGTGAGGAAACTACATTTCAAGAGAAACTAAATCACTGTTAATCTAAATCGTCTATCGTGTCATAAATGGGTTGTATTGAGCGGCAAAATGTGAAAAAAATAAGAAGTTGCTGAAAACAACTGTGGAATCTTGTATTCTATTGCACGACACATTGAAGGATGAATAGCAATCGTGTTTTTAATCTTTCTTTGATAATTACTCATCCCTTTACATTTCAACCAGCAATCATAGTTTGTATCAAGGCAAGTCAAAGTTATTTGGTTGTTTGCTACAACAGACGTTACAAAGAATAAAGGAAAAGCACACAAAAATAAAATCACAAGTGTTATTTTCTTTGTTATTTGGTCTGCTCTCAACTCTAGTCAGACTGTCTGATGATGTCGGTAATGTATGCAGAAATATACCCTGGACTTGCTCATTAAATATTAAAAAATCAGTGTATTTCTTGCTCTGAATCTCTGAAATTTAATTTTTTGCCATTTCGAGATCTACTGATTACGTTTGATCATATTACAGTGGAACCTCATTATAACAAACTCTTGAGACTAGTGAAATTATTGCTCTACATTGACACCTTCTTGTATCAGGGCGAAAAAAAACCATAGATACAAGGATACACACAATTACCTTGTTCCCTTTTGCGACAGTCATTCCACATATTGTGTTGTGGCTCAACTTTTGATTCAGAGCTATATTCCAGATATTCCAAATATTCCAGATGCATATGGGTAGAAAGGGCTACAATTTCTGCACAAATGTGTCAATTTTTGTTGCATGATAATATCGTGTTTGAGGGCATGAATTTTAGAAGGATAATAAGCTTGAAAATTGGCAACACGTAGAGAGGGTCAAAATCATTGTTTTCGATCAAAATTGGTCACTTTATCAACTTTTCAACAAAACTATTCACCCAATATTGATTTCAATGACATTACATTTTATTAGTGCAATGTAGCATTAAAAGAAAAAAAGTCACGTTGCCAATTTTAAGAACAAAATGGGATCAATTCAGCCATTTAGATATCCCTGCTGTGAGAGTGATACAGTATTCTTTATTACGAGGTTCCACTGTATAATTCATACGCAAAGTAAAATAATGACAAACCTGCTAACATGCTGATGACCGATAGAAGAATCTTCTCTACGCTCTGTACTGGACTCCATCTCTCAGCACTGCTCTCATAACCCATAGGATCATCACCAGGGGCATGCAGGATTGATATACACACCCGGCCATCTGCATAAACTACAAAGAAAATATACATGTATCATCCTGTTGTCATAGGGAAAGTACAATGAATGTTTATCGCAAAAACTGTTACATCCACAACCTAAACTAAGTTATGAGGCAACATCCGTCCATTTGCATAAACTATAAAGAAATTCACATCTCATCCGGTTGTGATAGGAAAAGTGTTTATCCCAAAACTGCTACATTCACAACCTAAACTAAGTTTTGAGACAGCACCCGTTCATCTGTATTTAAACTATGAAGAAATAAACATCTCATCCTGTTGTCATAGGGAAAGTACACTGAGTGTTTATCCAAAAACTGCTACATCTTAAACCTAGAAACTAAGTTTGGAGACGGACAAGGAACAACGAAATGAATACATTCAGAAGAAAAATCTTTAATTTTTATGGTGAAAATTAGACAGTAGACTGCATGTATGTTAATGGTGTCATACAACTCAACTTGAAACAAATACACACATGTATGTCCATATTTGTTTTAGTACTGTTGTAGAATAACTACAAATTAGTTGATAACATTGTGTAGATATCTGAAAATATCTCACAATGTAGAACCTCTTATGATACTTTAGCTACAAACTGAAAATGTGTACAGGTATTTCTTTTCTGTTTAAAGTACCTTCTCTCATTTCTAGATCACAACAACCCTCAGAACTGAAATGTTAAGCCTTACTATTTGGATGGAACATCTCAGTCTTGAATCGCATCTTGGGTGGGTTGAGCGGATAGTCAGTCGGAAACTTCAGTTCAGTCTGGAAGACCCCTCCTTCAAAACATGTTCCTTCTGGACCACTGATGACACAAGATGAGAAGGAAACAGAAGGAGATATGTAACCACATGAAAATAGTATGCTTGAACCAAAAGCTCCTAATGGATCTTATATTGTGTTTATGATACAAACAATAAGCATCATGCAAAAGTGATACATATAATATACATGTAAAAGGCACACAAGGAAAATATTTAAGGTACAGTGCTCAGGTAGAAGACCAGATGCAAAGCATACAGAGGTCATCTTGGAGGCCAATGGTTAGATACAAGATAGCATCTTCAGCACAAAACACAAACAGCTAACTCTTCATAACTTGCAGTTGCACTAGTCAAATTTTCCTTAAATCAAAGCACTTTCAAAACAAATTCTTCAAACCTGTGTTATTTAAACTTCCCAAATGCAAATCCATTTAAAGTAAATTTTGCATCTGTCGAACAATTTGTTGTAGTCCCAGCAGATTTGACTTCTGCAGAGTTAACTGCAGATAAATAAACAAAAATACTTACGTAATAAGAGCTTCCCATTCAAAGAAGTTTTCTTCATTGACTGGACCAGCTATGATGCCCTCAGGAGGATTGACTGTTAGCTCTGTGAACAAGGAAGAAAAAGAGGAGAAAATATCTAGAATATTTTTCGTTTTGGTTGTCCACAAATATAGAGACTTTTCATTTTCTTTTATGTTTACTTCATATTTGTCTATGTAAAAATGTTTCTCCTTAATTATAATGATTGCTGCACTGACACCTGTATCTCTGTACCAAAAGTCCATACTTTTGATATTTTTTTAAAATCTCTCGATGACAACGTCTTTGTCTTTCACTCTGTCAATCTCTTCAGATGCTTCTCTTATACATGTATACCTAGTGTGTGTGTGAGTGGGTGTGCATGTAATTAGGTTTTTACAGACGTGTATCAATCAGACGTGACTCAGTTTGATCCGGGGTTGCCTGAGCCAATTTTTAGGCAAAGTCAGAGGGACGACCAAGTGAACGTGCCGCTAGACCAACTCGGATCTTGATATCTCTTTAAGTAGCTGTCAACTCTTTTTTTTTTTATAGCAAGCAAATCATGAAGGTATCCTTTCATATATTATTTTGCTAATTTGTGTATTTATGACTGTTAAATTTGTTTTTTTACATTGCTCAATGATAAATAAATTGAAATGAATTGAAAACAAAATCATGAGAAAAGTAAAATAAAGCAAGCATATGATGAATGATTAGAGTCTACATTTACAATTAAATCTAGATCTAGATCTAATCATCTAGACTATGATGATGAATATTATTCACATTAAAAAAACATTGGATTAGAATCTATGACAAATGTATCTCATCATCATGACTAGCTATTACGATAATACAACAAAAATAAATTGTGTATTATAGTCTCATAAGGAACGAAACAAACAACAACAACGACAACTCGGTCAGTCACCACTCACTCAATACTTTCTTAGCGACTGCCCGGAATTACCAACGCAAAACACACATAAAAATCGATGCATGGGGCAATGATAAAATTAATATGTAGCACAAAATCACGCCCAGCAATCACTAAAAAATATTAAAATAAGATATGGAAAATAATTTCCAGAGAATACGCACGTTTATATTCAGCCATCAATCTCTTCAGGGCAGATCCGGCCATATTCAAGATAAATTCTCTCGGAATATGCCTGCTTTTTAAACTACCCAACTCTTCACAAAGAACTTAGCAGATAGGACCTTCAATCTTATTGCCTAAGGTAGCTGTGAAATGTCGATCAAAACCAAAAGCTGAGACTGTTAAAAGAAATCGTGTTGGGGCAATTTTTTCATAAATTCAATAATTCTACATTTTCATGACCTTGGAAGTGAAGCTATAATCTTTCGCGGGATTTTTTCCCGTTGTAAATAAAGACAACACAACTTTGTCCATTTTTAAAACCACCATTCTTGGTTGTATTCGGGGTTATCATTTTTCATTCATTACAGATTCTTTCACAAAAAGTTTATTTGTATAACATTTCATTTATTTCTTGAAGAAGATAAAGAAAACAGAGAAATGGAATGTAGAGTATAACATAGTTGAGAAAAATAAGACAAGGAATAAGAAGGTTTCGAGTTTAAAACATATCATAAGAACACCCGCTGGTACAAGCCATCTGATGAAGTGGCGTCGAAAAAAGAAAAAGAAAGAAAAAAAAAAAAATCCGTTTTCCAACTTTTCACGTTTCACGAAATCGTCATAATGACAAGTTCAACGATATCCCATTGGAACGCATGTATTGATAATTGAAATAGCCGAACAGGCTACTCTGTGTAAATTTGTGATTTAAATAAATGAATACATCAAACACCATTCAATTGGATGTCGACGAACTTGTACTTATGACGGCTCGTGAAATGTTTGAGGAGGCTTGGGGTTGAGGGGTGTTTGTGTGTCTGAGTCATGTGTGTACGTAGAGGGTGTGGGGGGGGGGGAGACATTATCTTCTTCATCATTATTGTGTATCATTTAGTTAATTTTTTTCTTCTTTTTCTATCAGATTTGTTTAAAAGGAAAATTACGAAGAACCAAAATTACAATCAGTTTATTTTTTAACATTATTGAGTATTTCTTTATATAACATTGTATTGTATTCATTTTATTCATGTGATTGCTATTGGTGGATTGACGATGCTATATATAAATATTTATATACACATTATGTGTGTGTCCGTCAAGTTGGAATAACCAACTTTGAGGCCCTTTGTTCCGTCATTCAGTTGCACTACATGATGGGCGTCTGGTTGGCATCATGTCAATTTCTGTATTTTCCACTATAGATTTCACCCCGTTACTGTTCTCGATATACGGTAGTTTTTACTGATCAATAATATTATGCACATTTGGACTTTGGGGCGTCTGGCGGGCGCAACCCACCACTTAAAACGTCCGTGGCAGGGGTCATTAAGGGTATACAGGGGCTTGTGCTTTACCAGGTTTTACCCCCCCCCCTCCCCACTCCGTTAACGGAGCGGATACCATGCGTGTTACCAAAATGTCCGGTAAAGGGGTACTTTTCACGCACCAAAGTCCGGCTCGTAGTACAGAAAAGGCCGTTTTACATACCGGACTTAGGGGGTGTTTTCAAAAGGAGGGAACATGCATATGCGTACCCTAAATAGTACTGAGTGGGGGGGGGGGGTGTTTATCTAACTGCCTTTCTCCTAGCTTGTTTAATAATTGTTATTTTGCATTAATAATGATGAAAAACACGAGGAGAGGGACAAAGATCTTTAAGAGAGAATTCTAAAGTATTCTTTTTGTCCTACCTATATTGATAAAAAAATAAAATAAATTTTTTTAAAAATGTTCATGCTTAGCTGCTCGCCCAATCACTCCTATTTTGATTAAAACAACTGATTTCTCTTTTTATTTTAAATTTGCATTTTCGTAATCTAAAAGACTGGTTTAAACCGAAATCGTGTTTTGTGGTGTAACGCAACACTCTAGCCGATATAGCCGGTGGTAATTTTATCATTACTTACGGGTAGTATGACGTGACGTTGATGGAAACATGATAGTCTAGCGTGCGAGTAAATCTTCAATTGCTATATAATTACACATGTATCAATCTAGGCCTATACGGCGTGTGCGCTGTGGGTAAATGGGACACCAGCCAACGCCATCATCATAAATATTATTACACGGACATACAGCTATAAGCATTGAACAAATAAGTGACTTTATTGTGCAGAGGTTTTCTAATTAATTGGCTGGTAGCATTTTCATTTATTCGTGATCACAAATAACTGCTTCACCGAACTGTTGGAATTACTACAGTGAATATAGTAAAGGTGAGTAACATCTAAAGCTATATAATTATGGTTAATTCAGTTGGTAATTCTCTACAGGATTATAAGGAAGTTGAATATAAAAACAACGTATTATTGTAGTTAACGATTTGTAGAACTGTTTGTCCAAAGATAATGTTGCTTTGACAATATTTTCTATCAGAATTATTGCAACGAAGTGAATTCGATTATTTTTCAGCAATTAATACCTGATAAATTATTTCAAAATAGGATTTTAAGGTGAACCACATTGTTGTATGGTTGACAATATTAAGGATATCAGGAGCCTCTTTTTATCATAGGCCTACGTAATTTTACAAGCATTTGAAGAAATACCATTTATATCATCATTCATTTTCAGGACTCCTTAATCCTTCCTCTCTCTCACATGGTGCACCCGCAAGCCTACTGTATATCATTATTCATATATTCATTTTTTTTATTTTTCAAAATTTGTATTTCAAACGTTTGAAGTAAACACAGATCATAAATTTCTCTTATAAAGCTCTTTACGAAAAAAACACACTTTAAAAAGGAAACTGTATGGTAAATCTTTGCCAATTAGTTTAGATGTATTCTAAATTGACAATATAGATCTTTGAGTTGCCTAATAATATATCACGGAATAAAGGTAATAAGGATAGCTACATTTATTGCGCATATAAACATCCCAGGGGTACTCAAGGCGCTTTCAGGCGTTAGCTCAGTAATAATTGCTCTATAAGGCGCTAAAAGCAATTAAAGAAAACAAATCTTACACTAGGTACCCATCTACACCTGGGTAGAGATTGGCAAATGCAGAATAATGTCCAGCCAATGGACATTAGTGCCTCGGCGGGACTCGAGATCCACAGTCCGATGCCGTATTCTTTAGACCATGACACCTCCATACTCTAGATGTTCATGCACTGTGAAAAGGTTGGGCAATATTTTCCAACACTTTGCCAATAGTCAACCCAACCATCTAATGGGCAATATTTTCGTATTTTGCCCAACAGTTGGTCAAGATTTTCCCAACAAGTGGGCTACCGTAGTCGGGCAGTTGAAGGGTCATATCTTTGCCCAAATTTTGGTCAAAATACGAAACAATGATGCACGCGTGAAGTAGGGTACTTACGTTTACCAATACCACTGGGCAAAATATTGCCCAATAGATGGTTGGGGTGGTCAGTGGCGGATCCAGGGGGGGGGGGGGGGGTGGCCGGGGGGCCCGGGCCCCCCCCCTTGAGAAAAAAAATCATGTAAAATCACGTGATTTTTACCTTTTTTGGGGGTTGGCTCCTCCCCCCCCCCCCCTGGCGCTCAGGGGGGGGGGGGGTGCAAATTGAAATTTTTTTGAGGATCAAAAAAAAAAAATGTGATCACTACCCCCCCCCCCCCCCCCCCCCCCCCCCCCCCCCCCCCCACTGAGCGAATTTTTGGCCGGCGCGATTTTCAAATTTTCGGGAGCCAAAAAAAAAAAAAGTTGGGCCCCCTCCCCTAAGAAATCCTGGATCCGCGCCTGGGGGTGGTTGGGTTGACTATTGGCACGACGTTGGGCAAAGTGTTGAAAAAATATTGCCCAACCTTTTCACAGTGTTTGTATCACAATTTAAAGAGAGAGAACAAAAATTCCATTTGAGTATGCATAATCCCTATAGACATGTAGTGTGTGGAATTCATTACTAGTCTATATGTGACAATGTCACAATGCCTCTGGAGGCATCCCCCCCCCCCTCAACCAAAAAAGAAGGAATGATGATAGTAATTATATAGACTGCCATTCATCTGATAAACCATTACTTAAAACGCAATACTCTATGTTTATATCTAACCCGCTTAAAACAACACAAATCAAACAAACAGAATGAAGGGAATAATACAGGTAGGCAAATAAGCACTCGAGATGAATGATTACGAGGTTGATAGATAACGTTATTAACAAAAGCGCTCATAAATTTAATATTGAAAAGGATTTGAAACTAATAATATTTGCTACAGCTCCAATATTTATACGGGAATGCAAATTTTTTTAAATCTGACATTACATTTTTTTCTTAAACAGCTTGACGACGCCTTTCGAGAATTAATTTTCCTGTAGGTAATTATTCCTTGTATACACCAAGGATGAAAGGAATAATATTTTGTCTGTGGGTGATACACGGCTGGGGATGGCGATGGTCCCATACCTCTCACATAACCGAAACAACTGACATCAATTTCGTGTCCTTCATTTCTACGAAAAAGTTTCTGAATTATTATTATTTTTAATACTAAATCATCTCGGGCAATGCTTCGTCTTAACACATCGGATGTTTGTTTAAGGCAAACTATAGGAATGCTTTAAAAGTCATTATTATAAGTCTAGACTTGTTATGATTTTGTTCAATTGGCATTTAAGATTCCTCTTCTGAATAACACATTGCAGTTATGTCTATATATCACCGGTTTAGCAAACATGAAGCTTTAAAAGGGTACAAGTCCCTCATCAGGCAAATAAATCCCTTGGATAAACAAATAATTATTTATCCGTTATGCTCTCAATAAAGCCATAGAGAGTGAACAATTGGAACACTTAACAATCAGCAAGTGGTTCAAATTATGATTGTAGATCATCCACTTAAGAATAACCATATTCATATCAATTCTATTGTCATTGCAATACCCATACTTCACTCTGAGCAAATTTAGAGCTTGTATTACATCAAACAATGCTCGTACGAAATCACTTTTCCAATTAACCTATTTAGAAACATCTCTCACTGTCTCTCTCTTTCTTTCTCCTTTTTTCTTTCTTGTTCTCTCTCTCTTAGTATCACTGTCAGCTTATTAACCTTGGTTACCGTATACTCGTAACCCACTTACCCTAAGAAACAGGATGAATTGAAGAGAAAATACTCAAATTTCAATCTTGCAATTAAGGATTTTCGGCACAAAATCAAAACAAGCGGATATATCACTCAGGGAATAAGTGCTTGATGATCCGGCACATTGTGTTACAGTTCAAAGTTGACATCCTTAAGGAAATATTGAGATGACAGGAAATTAACCTAATCTTGATTCCATGCAGGCATAGGAAACCACAAAAAACACAATCCTATTTGTCTATGCGAATTCAGTGCAATGTTGTTGTATTATTGTCGTAAATGATACCTATGTTTATTCTACAACACATATGAAGCCAGCTATGTTCACTTTTGTAATCACGAGTCTAACTTTCAAGGCACTATATCTACAATTTTGACTGGGATGGGAAAACTTAATTTAGTTGAATTGCTGACTGTACCTCTGAAAGTTTGTACAACTACAAGAATAAATTACGTCTGATGATAGGAAACTCGATGATCGTTTCAAAAGAATGTGAAAAATGAGATTCGTACAAGATACGAAAAGTTTTAAAATCATCAATAAGATCTCGTCGAAATCATAAGGATACGTAATAAAGGCCAACATCATATTTTGAGGAAGTTCACAGTAACCATTTGATTGTGAATGTTTTGCTTACAAATGAGTATATGTAAACAATTCTATATTCAAAAGCGGCTAACATAACATGAAATGCACGTGCATACAACAGATTTAAACATAGATTCGAGGTAAAAGTATGGTATTGAAAAGAAATGAAAATGAAACAGAAAGCATGAGAAAGGGAAAGGGGCTGTGGTATCGAAAGGAAACAGACCAGAAACAAACTGCGTCATTGCACGAGGATGAATGTTTGCCATCAACCAAAATACTTATTTCAATTGAAATTATTTCTAAAGAATTTCAGCTGAAGAATTAAAAAGTGTATAAGAGAGAGGGAGAGAGGGCGGTTAGGTAAGGTTTAGGCCTGTTTACATGGGATCAAAAGTCACTGACGTGTAAGGCATACGGAAACCATCTCGCTTCTAATCATAATTATCTATCACAAAAAGAGGTGCAGTTGATTTGGGAAATCCCCTTTTAGTGCCAAGGCGAGCATTCATTCTAGTTTGTGCGTGCTGCCAAAGCAACAGGAGAGCGGACTTCCCCTGGACCTGGTGATAATTACATCGTCATTAAAGCTGATAAGAGCACAACGGTGCACTCTATTCATTAATACTGATGCAAATTTTAGATAATCTACATTTGTAAAGTAACAATTTCCACTAATGAGCTGGAATAGCCGTGTCTAAAAAAAGATAATTTCTAAATGGTATTTGTGGTATGGATGAACACACCATAAACGTAACGTATTTTGACACTGACTACTACTACCACAACCAACCATATGATGCAGTACGTGCACTTGGTAACTCGTGGTCATAAGAGGAACTGAAACTGGAACATTTGTTGTCACATATTTTTAGATTTTGGAATAACGTGTAAATAAATTGTGTTTCGTCGGATATGTTCAAAGTGTTAAACAATGCGCCTACGTCAGTACTTATAATTGAAACATTTATTACCAGTGTCTACCTCACGTAGGTTTTTTTTTAAGTCATAAGATCAGGTTTCGATTATCAAATTTCTTAATTGTAGTCACTTTATCATAGAGGTTCCTGTCAGTCAAACACGTACGCCACAACAGCCTTTTCCGGGGTAGGAGACGAATATATATCGGGAAGTTTCTCTGAAATAATATTTACAACAAGAACAAGATTTTTAAAAATGTCATTGTATAGCTTTTGACCAAAGAAGACAGTCTTCATGAAGAATATAAACAACTTTTATTATAAAAAAGATCAATCATCTATGACCTTGATTAAATTTTAGAATCATGGATCTCTTTACGGATTCGATGGCGCTCACGACAGTGACCACCGATCATTATGACATGGAACACAGTTTCCTGACCACCGTCATCGCCACCGTCAGTCTCTCCATCATCATCATCGTGTCTCTGTGTGCCAACACCCTGGCGACCTCCACCATACTCCGTGTTCGTCTTCTGCGTGACAACCTCCACAACCACCTCATCGTCAACCTCAACGTCGTCAGCATGTGCATCACTGTCTTCAGTATGCCGCTGACCTTGGTGTCCATCTTTGACGATGGCAGATTGTTAAAGCGAAACTCTAGTCTCTGTTTGGTAGGTCATGAGAATTAAGGTTAATCATTTGCGTGTAGGGATTTAGTTACTGGGGCACGTGCTCCGTTCCCCAGATATGGTAAATGGTAAAGAACGAGAAAAGTAAGAGGTGAGAAAGAGAAAGAGAAAGAGACAGGGAAGGGAGAGAGAGAGAGAGAGACAGACAGACAGAGATATAGAGTGATAGTGAGAGACAGTGAGAGAGAGAGGGAGAGAGAGAGAGATAGGGAGATAGATAGAGAGAGAGAGAGGGGAGGGGGGGGGGACGTGGAAAAGAAAAAGGGTTTCGCAGGTCAGACGTTTCAAACATATTTTGACCCAGGATGCGCAGGTCGTGTGTTCGAGCCCCGGCAAGGAATTATGTGATATGCGCTTTACAAGAATGGCGACATCATTTATGATCATTGTGGCAGATAGCAGCAAAAATGGATTAGCACTGAATAAAACACGTTATCTTATGTCCTCGGTACATAGGCCTATGCATATCTCACACGATATTTTCCATTTTGTTTTTCACAGTTCAACGGGTTTTGTTCAATCGCTTTACCAGTAGCTAGCTCATTTACCGTTCTATGGATAGCCGTTGACAGGTAAGTCCATAAAATGTCATTTATTTCTAGAATGAAACCAATCAATTGCACGAATAATTCTTAAAATGACCAGCGCAGAGAAGACTTGGTATTAGCACAGTGGCATGGTATGCTACATCGGCCAAAGTTAGATTAACAATAATTATAATCATACAATTATTATTCGTAAATTGGAATGAAGCAAGAAGACACCCGGGAAATCCGATTTCTTTTGTGTTGGCATTACGAATAATTCAAATTGTTGAATTTGTTCCCTTTTCCTAATTTAAATGACACTTTGATGACCCCCCCCCCTCCTATTTGATGTAACTCGTATTCCTTCTAATCGGTAAGATACCCTCTTTGATTAAACTGAGTAGCATCCGGAATTTTGAATGCTATGTGTTTTATTACTTGTTGATCATCATTCTGCTTGTTTTTAATCTCTATTTTAGATACCTAACCGTGGTTTGGTCCAAACGCTTCCCACCTTCAAGTCTCCGAACCATCTTCATGATTGTCTCCACATGGGTTGCTTCTTGTGTAGTCGCCATCTTGCCTATCTTTGAAGTCCTTTCGGAATACCACTACATGCATGACACCCATCATTGCTCGCCGGTGTGGGAAATGTGTGAGTTCTATTTCGTGGTCTTCTTTGCCGTATATGGTCTCAGTATTCCTATCATGGTTATATCCTATTTCTTTGTCGTCTATCATCTCTGTAAGAAGGAACGCAAGATGCAGTCTCATCAGTCCTTCAGGTCGAGGTCAAGGTTCTCTTGGTCCGAGCGCTCGGTGATGGTACCGAAGAGGAAAAGGGCGGAGAGAACGACAAAGGAAAAAAGTTCATCCCTTGTAGCTGATTCAAGCCACATAAGCAACGGAGTTGGACCGAAGAAAGAGAAAACACTGCACGATTCCGGCTATGCGTCCCCTCCAAAGAACTCAATGATTGGGACCGATAGTTCACCTTCAAGTGCTGTGGTTCTAACTGATGCAGTCGATATTTTCAAGCATGACAACCTGAATAAGAACAACTCTGCAAGTACCGACGATGGTACCGATGAACCAAGGATGTCAGCTTGTGCTCGCCAAGGATCCGTGCGAAATATGATTAAACAACTTGAGAAAAACAACAACACGCACAGATCAAAATACGACTCGTTGCCTAAGGCGAGACGCAAACTGCGTGTAGAATCAAACGAGCTCCGAAAGGCAGCTTCCGCTAATGATGTTTTGGATTATGAAACTAATGAGAGTAACATCTACGTATCTAATGGCAAAAGTGGCAGTAAACAGCATTTAAATGAAGAGAGCTGTCAAGCAGACCTGCTAAACGAAGGAGAGGTCCGCTGCGACGTTCCTTCAAAGACAATCACCAGAGCAAATATGGCAACACCACCTGTATACCATTGCTACGATGACGACTGTACACCTGAAGTGGTAGGATTTATGATTTATGAAGACGCCGAACCTGATTGCAGTCCAGAAAGCACAATGCTCGTGAATCAGGTTGAAGAATCTGATTATCCCATCGTGCCTAATATCATCATTGAAGATGTTTTAGGAGAAGACCGTGCATCAGATTCAGATGAGGACAGTACTGATACACCAAACTCATCAACACATTGTTCTCAAAATGAGGAAAATCTGTCGACATTGCTGCAGACAGCCGCTGTTGATCAAGATCTCCTAGTCGTACCCAACACGTCCTGCATGAATGGCGAATTGGACAACACATCATCCTGTGATGGTAGACAGGATGACGATGCAACATTTAGAACTGTCAGTGTCGGGAACGTTTCGGGTTTGCAATTTTCTGTATCTATCGAGCGTCTTGCTGCGCCAGACGAACAAAGTTCATCACATGACGAGTTTAAGAAGAAGCGAGAGGGATCGTTCGGAAGCTCATCCTCCATTAAAGCGAAATCAAGGAGTGGGACAGACACGTCGAAGGTCAAGAGAGGAAGCACTCGAAGACTGAGCATGAGACCTACCTTAACTGCTGATAAACAAGTTGCACTTATGGGTGAGTATAACTTTCCAACTTGTTCTCCAAATCGATTCATAATTGTCCAACCTTCGTCGACCTACGATTAAAAAAGAAAGAAATATTATTAAACCCCCTCTCTGCAGGATCGGGAAAAGGCAATAGAGGGTTAGCACCCTGTGTTCCGTGGCTATGTTAAAAAATCCGTGGACGCTTCCCTCCTACCCTTGATAATAAACTAAACTGATGACCAAACACGAGCTAAGACAAAAAATAACAGGTCTTGACGGAAGTACATTGATTTTTGCTCTTTTCTTAATATATTTCATTTTTATTTACGGTTCAGTATCTCACTTCATTGACATGTTAGTTCGAAAAATAGTTCGGAAAATATTTATGAGAGGATGATTAAGCACGCTGCAAAGATTTACCGCAACGCATTATCAAAAGTAAAAAGCCGTGTCACGATACTTTTACCAACCATCACATGCTGTAAACAACAGTGAACATGTTGATATCACCACAATAGTCTTTCGCATTAAACAAGGAAGAAAGATGATCTCATCTTCTGTAACCAAATCTTTTTGAGAGAGCGAGGTCATCAATAAGACTGGTACATGCGTCATATTTTCATATCAATAACAGGGCTTAAGCGTGTTGATGGATGACGAATTGTGTTTTTCTGTAGTACGAGAAAGTGCTTTTTTTATGAAGAAGGGTGCAAGGCCAGGGCCCTGTCTCACAAAGAGTTGATAGTATTATCAATCGTAACTTATTTGCGATTGATATCAATCACAACTATGTACATAAGTGATAGGAGACTGAAAATTTGCCATTGATTTGAGGACTTGCGATTGATTTGGATCAATCGCAACTCTTTGTAGGACGGGGCCCTGTGCTGTAAACCCTAAACATGGTTTGAGTGTTTCACGGTAAGACGAGACAATGTCGGATAAGCTTTCTTGGAGTGCACTTCCGGTGGTTGTGACCTATTAAGAGTATTGCCCTTGCGTTGTACTAGTACTCAGTGGCGTACGCAGGATTTTTTTAAGGGGGGGGGGGGGTTAAAATCAAAAGGGGGGGGGGTTTCCAAAAAAACATACATAAAACATACACATAAAGAAAACTCGAGGGGGGGGGGGGGTTTAACCCCAAAACCACCCCCCTGCGTACGCGCCTGCTAGTACTATTAGGATGTATTTTATTGTAATAAATACGCCCCTTGATTATCATCAAGTTAGTGTTGAGCAAAGTGAAAACAAATTAATTTCCAAGGATGATAGTATACACCTTGCAAGTGTTTTGAGAAATAAGTGGCGCCACTTGAAAGCACGATATCTTAATGGTTGCCCCGGATACATTCCACCTCATTCTCAGTAAAGGGCTTCCGCCCCTTTACGGATTCAACGACGGTTCATGAACTCTGTCTTCGATGATTCAAGTTTCACGAATTGACCTTCATTTAAATTCGAGATGCACTTGAATTGTCCCTTATTTTCAAGTTGCAGTACCTTCATGTTAATTTTTGTTTGCATGTGCATAATCTGCCCCATAATTAATACCGAACTATGCAAATAACATACTCACTCTTTCCTTTCCAATTTTCGAATGAAGTAACTTTAAAATAAATCAGAAAACGGTAGAATATTGATTACACACTATTTTAGTTTTCTCATGAAGTGAACTTCAATTTGACTGAAGGCGACTTCGTGAACCTTGAATCATCTAAGGCAGAGTTTTATGAACCGTCATTGAATTAATGGCGTATCTAAACAGGGGCGGAAATCCTATCATTTCGTTTTCAAGGAGAGGGCGTGGTGCTGTTTAATTATTATTTTGTTTATATCACTATGAGCACTTTGACTAAAAACACTTCTAAAGAGTATACCATCACAAAATACTTGTCGATTAATTTAGTTTTCATATCGCTTAATGATATCATGGGGGCGTATTTATTATAAACAGAATACTTCCTGCTAGTTCAGCGCAAGGGCAATATGCTCTTCATAGGTCTCGACCCGGAAGTGCTTTCCAAAAAAGTCAAACTCGAAAATTAGTAACACTCTGCCTGGTTAAACCGACATGTTCATGTCTAACCATAAACACTCGAACCGTATACTGGGTTTAAACTGAGCACTTCGTGCGTGCATCCTTATAAAGGTGTTTAATACCCTCTTGAGTTTTCTTTTGAGAAAATTGTTTTTAACATTGTATCATTGAAGCAGCATCTGTTTTTGTTTCTGTTTAAAAAAAAATAACAGGGCCTTCAATAAATAAGTGCGTGCGGAAAAATAAGCATTTTGTTCTGTGAGATTAAAATACAACTAGAAAAGAAAGAAAGAAATAAATAACACCAGAAAAACAGGCACTTTGGTATTTCCTCCCATCATCTATTCGCGAAATTGACAACCTAGACCACTTCAAAGCTTCACTCAAGACTCACATCTTCCTTCAGACATTTAAATGCTAATTTTATTGGAGGAGCTTGCGCCTTTGAGTGTTTTTTGAAACAGATATATAGCGCCATACAAATGCTGTGAATCATCATAATCATATAGTACCATAACGTCAAACAGAATCTTTTTGTAATAATAATAATATTTTCTTTCTTCTTAAAGGTACTATGTCCCTTTTGCAGCCAACCTCAAATGCTGTAGAACTTTGCAGGAATCATGAATATGTCACGTATGTCCTATCTGTGAAATTTAAACGTTAGCAGTGTCCTCATATTCAAATTATGCAAGGAAACCCGTTTACTTGCTAGACTTCACTGTCAGACACATTTGAGTGACTGACTGGCTTTTTTTTCTTCTTTGGTAATAACATACATGAAAAGAGTTGTAAAGGGTACATGAGCATTTGTCTACATCAATAGCCCACTTCTTGTGATGGCCAAGATTAAACTGATTGATCTTTCCGCAGCATAAAACGTATGACCATTCTGTACAATTGTCTGAAAATCAAGACTATTCCTTTTGGGCTCTATAGCCCTAAAGTCGATTTGACAACTAATAGTCGTTATTTTCCCACTTGAAGACATTTTCAAGCCCCACCTTTTTTAGGGAAGTTCTAAATTAGTATTATCTTTCAAATGCAGTTGGAATTTAACTTTTTTATTTTTTTTGGCCTGCAAATGGGACATAGTACCTTTAAGCTATATTGCGATTTAGGCCTTTTATGTTTATCCCATGTTGTACTTGTCATGCACATAATCATGAAAATGACTTAGTATTTCTTTCTTCTTAAGCTATCTTATTGCGATTGAAGCCTTTTATAATTTTATATGTTTATCCCAAGTTCTACTTGTCCATGCACATAATCATGAAAATGAGTTAGTATTTCTTTCTTCTTAAGCTCTCTCTTATTGCGATTGAGGCCTTTTATAATTTTATATGTTTATCCCAAGTTCTACTTGTCCATGCACATAATCATGAATGACTTAGTATTTCTTTCTTCTTAAGCTATCTTATTGCGATTGAAGCCTTTTATAATTTTATATGTTTATCCCAAGTTCTACTTGTCCATGCACATAATCATGAATGACTTAGTATTTCTTTCTTCTTAAGCTATCTTATTGCGATTGAGGCCTTTTATAATTTGATATGTTTATCTCAAGTTCTACTTGTCCATGCACATAATCATGAATGACTTAGTATTTCTTTCTTCTTTAGCTCTCTCTTATTGCGATTTGGGATTTAGGCCTTTTATAATGAATATGTTTATCCCAAGTTTTACTTGTCCATGCACATAATCATGAAAATGACTTGGTATTTCTTTCTTCTTAAGCATCTTATTGCGATTGAAGCCTTTTATAATTTTATATGTTTATCCCAAGTTCTGCTTGTCCATGCACATAATCATGAATGACTTAGTATTTCTTTCTTCTTGAGCTATCTTATTGCGATTGAGGCCTTTTATAATTTGATATGTTTATCCCAAGTTCTGTTTGTCCATGCACATAATCATGAAAATGACTTGGTATTTCTTTCTTCTTAAGCTCTCTCTTATTGCGATTTATGAATATGTTTATCCCAAGTTTTACTTGTCAATGCACATAGTCATGAATGACTTAAAGAAGTAGCATAATGAATGATAACCAATACATTTAAATCAAATTCTCTTGATTTTGCAGGCGGATTACTCGTACTGACTGCTATAATTTGCTGGACCCCTTACTTCGTCATCCACTCGTGTTTCTTCCCCATGAACATTGCACCGCATTGGAGCAGCATCCTGACCATGTGGCTAGGCTACTTGAACGCCATGTTGAATCCTCTAATCTACTCATTCACGAATCGGCGTATCCGATCCATGGTGGGTACGTTCTGTGGTAAGCGATGTAGGGTCATCAAAGCACTAATGTGCAGAAAAGGATCGGAATCCGCTACAATCGTCCCACATTAGCCCTGTCAACTTGGAATGCTGTTTAATTTGTACATGTCATTTCTACCAGGGATAATGAAAGGTATTTTCCAGAGTACTTTGTTCCAGCATCCATTATTCAACATTTCAACAATCTTACATGTACCTATTGTCTATTATTCCATTTTAAAAAAAATTATACATTTCAAGGTCGTCCTTCCATTCCACCCTCTACTTCTGTGACCTAAGTTGTGTGTTTTTTGCATAGAAGTCTTTAATATTTCTCTGAGATGATTAGAAAAAACAGTGCCCAGGGAAGAAGATGTTTATTTGCCGTGGTCAAACATTTTCGTATGATGATTGACGAGCGAAGCTTATTCTCATCATTTGTCTTAATAAATACAAATAGTGAAGCATTGACTTCTACGATCATCTCTGTGAGATTGTCATACTTTCACATCTTTTCGGACAACACCCTCAGAATTGCCGCTATGATTTTTATGTTACAAAGGATAAATCCCCATCTTTATAAAGTTATTTTTTGGCGATTGCAACTATCACACTCAATGGCGGATCCAGGATTCACTAGCGAAAGGGGGCAGTTTTTCTCACAAATTTCCGAAGTCTTTAAGGGCCCCACTAGCTGCCGGTAGCACAAATTGGGGCACATATTTTTTGTTTTCATAATCGATGTGTACTTCAGGTATGTCATATTGTGTATTCCCGGGGAAAGGGCGGGGCCCAAGGCCGGGGGGAGGGGGGGGGGGGGTGAACGTGCTTCCTCTGTAACCTCCTGGATCCGCGATGACCGCGAGATAACTGAGTCTCTGTTTCGTACATCATGTCCCGTACTCTACTAAAATTTAAACTCGATGCTGGATTTTCGTTTTCGTTAAAAAAAATCGGTATAAAAATTAACACATCTGAAGTTAGTTTGAAGTCTAATTTATTTCTTTGTCAAACCGAGATCTTATACCCAGGATCTAGTTTGACTTCATTAGTAGAATACGGACATTTACGGTTAATACATTAGCCTTCTTCTTGGATGACTTTTATTTTAGTTGTGTTAGAGTTAGTCTTCCGATGTTTCGGTCAGAAATCCTAGCAGCAATATTTTTTAAACTTTAGTTTGACATTCTTTTTCACTCAGTGTATGTGGTTTTTCGATGTACCAGGTCAAATGTACATATTTACAATATAAGGAAAATGTGCAATATTCCGTTTTATGATGTAAATGAAGTTAATGTGTTATAGTTTTACATATGAGGAATGTATTTATGATGGTATTACATCTTTCAAGAATATTACGAACAAGGGAGATATCTCCAAATATAAATATGAACATGTAAATATGGATAGACTTGTCATTTTGTGATGTATCAATGCACCTATAGCACATTTACTTTGATGTTAGTATTAAACGTTTGTAGCTGATTTATATACAAATGTTATCCAACTGAAATTTGATTAAAAGTGTTCATGTCTTGCAAAGAGATAAATAGATAGAGAGAGAGAGAGTGAGAGAGAGAGAGAGAGGGGGGAGGGAGGGAGGAGAGAGAGATAGAGAGAGAGGGAGAGAGAGAGAGAAAGTGAGAGAGAGTGAGAGAGAGAGAGGGGAGAGAGAGTGAGAGAGAGAGAGAGAGAGAGAGAGAAAGAGGGGGGAGGGGGGAGAGAGAGAGCGAGAGAGTAAAACAAAAATGGGTGTTTTTATGAAAATACACGATGATTAATTTTCTACTATTACCTACTTAGAGATATATTTTGTTTGCAAATTCAATATTTTTTTTAAATCTGCAGAATCTGCGACGGTATCTAACACAATTTTGCAAATGATACTTGTACAGCTTTAACATTCCTTTAAGGCCAATGGACACACTCACTATTTGGCTACTAACCGAATGCCCCTACATTTCTCTTTTATGTATTCAAAGTTCAAAGTAAATGGTAACATGAGACTTTTGTACACCCCCACCTGCAAACTGAAGAATGCCAGTCTCTGTCACGTGAACATGAAGATCATGGCATGTTCGTAATCCCATTGATTGAAAGTAGGCCGGGATCCGGGCGGCATGCATTACTGGGACAATAGAAATGACATGATTCTCTTTGACCGGGGACACGGTCACAAACCTTTTTTTTAATGACAAATGCCAACATGCATCAGTGACAAATCTGCTGATAACTAATCAGAAGAAAGGATTTCACTGGCTAATTATCACAAAAGCTGTCATGTGTCACTAATGACACGTTTTGTGAAAACGTATATCAAATGACAATATTCCAACCATGTTGTCCTTCCTGTTATCTTCATAAACGAAATGTAAACGGAACATTTCTACCTGCACATTGACAAAGAATCATGCCCATCTGGAACAAAATTTTATTTTGGATACCTGCCCCCTGTCTTTAACATTTAATGAAGAATAAATCGTTAATGAATAGTAAGGTACAACCACTATTATATATGATGATCAGTTGCACTTTACCCATAGAAACACACAAAGAGAAACCAACTTCAGAACTAGTAGAAGGAATTATGACAAGTACTACATTTTTGAAGAATATGTATTAAATTTAATCAATATAGCACCAATATATATCACGTATTAAGACACATTTTGTACATAGTTATCTCGCGAATATACATATATTATATCTCAATACAATGCATATATATTTCAGCAAATTCAAGTCCTAATTCGAATAGACCAACATAATATTTGTGGCAATATCAACACAATAATATTTTTCTCGGTATAAAAGACGATCACTTGATTATATCAGCTCCAAATAAATACAATGAAATATATTTAAACACAAATGCAATGTGGAATTACAAGACATGTAAAATGAATAATATTTGAACCATTACGGATATGTTAAATAAAAAATTTGCTCTATTCAATATAGCAAAAGAAAGAAGAAGGCTAAAGCTGCTCAAACATCAAACATTTATCACAAGAATTAAGCCCCAGTAATGACCGTTACACTCTCACACTGTTGCACATCTACAATCTTACAGCGGTACAAGTTTAACCAGTTATTGTTGCAAATCATGATTAAATATTTCAGAAAAATTCGAACATGATTTTGATTCCTCTTTCTAACCTAAAATTCTAGCTGATTTTGACTCTGGAAAGTATGTATGGTATACTATACGAAAGAAATGTTTGATGTTTATTTTTTTTAAAGCTTGTGTCAGAGTTCACTTAAATTTCATAGACTATGAAGGCGGTCAATCAATTTAGGAATATTCTTCTAAGAGTAAACTTCCGAATAATGAACAATGTTCCTAAAGTTCACAGGGGTCGAAAATAATTTGTCTCATCATTTCCGATTTAAAACCAATCAGGTTTTAAACATAATATTCACTTAAACAATTAAAACCTGAGCTTTAGGATGCCTCAAATTTCGAGAAACCACATTTTGACTATGAATTGTTTGAAGATTTTTGAAATGAAGTATGATTTTTCAAAAGATTTGTCCTACACCGATACTGAGACGTTTGATTCGTTCAGTTATGAATAATTCACGAATTACTCACTGACTTAGCATTCACAAAATTAAACACGATCTCACATTCTCAAAGGATATAACATATTTGTCCGATTAGTCAGACTAATCAACATAATCATCCTCTTACAACTTTAAAATTTAAAAAATAATCGGGTCGTTTAGAAGTACCAAGAATAACACATTTTAACTAACGTTTTTGACCAACATTGTTTGTATACCATAACAAAAACAGTTCTGTGTTCAATACAGACTGTCTATGGTTCAGTATGAAAAGAAAATTACAGTAAAAAACTAACATGAATATATTCTTGATGCATAATCAGTACACTAAAAAACACCAATCCATTCAGAAAGATTTATGGAAATCGAGACAGAACAGCCAGAGGAAATAGAGAGAGAGGGAGTGAGACAGAGAGACAGAGAGACAGAGAGACAGCTAGAGACAGACAGACAGACACACACACTCAGAAAAGGAGACATGAAGAGAGAGAGAGGGAGAGAGAGGAGGGGGATGCATTCGATATTTTATTTGCCATAAAGTCGCTTTCCTTTGCATTACAAGTAGCCACTCGGACTACATGGATTGTAATTTAATACTTTCTTAGAAGATATCTAAAATCCAAAATTGATTAGGTCCTTTGAGGTGAGCTGTAAAAAGATAGACCTACAAGCCTTCGGAATGCCTCTCGAAAACTAGAGGTCATCAAGGCGTATACATATGGGTTCACTGCCGATGTTGACCAAAGGAGAATATCCGCAGCTCTCCAAAGCCAGATAGAGAAACTGTAATGTTTGTCAAAGAAGACGAAGACACAGTAAGGTATGAGAGACAACGTGTAGGTGATGAAGAGTAGAAAAAGATTCCTGGTAAGTCGGAGATTGTCTTTGTGCTGTATCCTGCGAATAGAGATGGCATGAGCAAAGGCAGGCACAGAAACTTCCTGGTTTGGACTACCCGATTCATTGTTAGATTGTTGCTCCGTCATGCTCTTCGGTAAGGCTGATGTCGACCAGGCATGAACACGTGATCGACTAGCACCGACATGCTTCCAAATCAAGGCGTAGGTGAATGGGATGACGACTGTCCCAATCAAGAGTCCAAGAGACAGGAGCACGACCTCGTAGACCCACACGCCCTCGACATCGTAACCAAACGAGCAATGACCGAGCACGGGGTTGAAGCCGGCAAAGTCTTTGCTACCTATGCCAAAGAATGGACTTAGGACAGGTAATCCAGCTAAGAGAACCGCTACAATCAGCTGTATAACGAAAAGCTGCGGTGTGGCAAATTTGCGATAAATATGCAGTGGCTTGGTGATATTGAGGAAGCGGTTAATAGCAATAAGGCCAAGGATGTTGAGTGATAGTGCGTGGAAGAAAATTAGCATGAATCCGTGAACGCGACAGAAGCTGACATCGAAGGGCCACTCGTTTTCCACCGTGCCAACGACCATGAGAGGTATCAAGACTGCACTCACGATCAGATCCAAGATTGCCAGGGCCGTTACAAGGGCGTTGGGAACCGTTCGTAACTTGGGCGTCATCGCTACAGCATAGATAACGAAAGCATTGCCTACAGTACCCGTCATAGCGAGCATGAGGCGAATGATGATCTCAACGATGGTGAATAATTTGTTTTGTTCATCATCTATACTGAGGGTAGAGTTATTCATTCTGTTAAGTTGTTTCTACTCATCTCATTTCGGCAAGTTGTGAGCTCCCTGCAAAGAGAAGAACAAAATTATGCCGTTAATTTATGGATCACAATTTCATTATAATAATAATAGCTCGTTCTTATATAGCGATTTTCAGGACCGGAGGCCCTCACAAAGCGCTTTACAGATAAGTATATTATAACCCCGGTCATTGGATTCAGGCTTGCCCGCACACAATGTATGCACATTCTGCACTCCCTGGGGAGCATACCAGCCAGGCGTCATTTTTACATGCGCACACTTGCAAATCTAACCACATTAGCTTTCGCATCCTACCGGGTACCCATTTAACACCTGGGTGGAGAGTGGCAAATGCAGATCAATGTCTTGCCAAAGGACATTAGTGCCGCGGTGGGACTTGAACCACGGACCTTGTGATCCACAGTCCGGCGACTTATCCACTCGTCCACAACACCTCTACTATTATTTACTGTTTGTGTAACTATGTTAACATGATCAAACTCTCTTTTCCTGTTCCTTCCTGTGATTGAACTACCTGATGAAACAAAAAATGGTTTAGTCTTTAATCAAATTTCCATAATACAAGACTCTGGTTTTGATGTTTTCTAGGATTAAAAAAAAAGTTAAAGAAGGAATCAATTATAGCGAAGATGTTCCTCCATGTTACTGGCTTTCATCCTTTCCACTCGTTCCAGACAATAATATTGATGGGGCAGTAGTATCGCTAGCATTGTATGAAACTGGCGTAGCCCTTCCTTGAAGGCACAGGAAAACAATACACCTTGCAATGTTTGATCATCACCCCCCCCCCCCCCCCCCCCCACCCTCCGTTCCTTTCTAAGTACGCAACTGATATTCATGGAACACATATCTCACGTATAGAAAGATTTAGATGATCAAAAAATAAAACGTTCTCTACAATATTGTCATAATTCTTTTGATATTTTATCAACTTAGGCGAATGATTTTCAAAAGGAATTTGTAAGCTTGGCTAGAAATGTAGTGCGCATTTATTATACAATTTTGTACAGATTTCTTTATTGGAATCTAAGTTTTTCTTTTGTGGCAGTTTTTCTTTTTATTTTGCAATGTCCTGGTGTGATGATTTTATTCTGTAAAATTAGTCGCATTGATTTGATAGATGAGACAGATAGATCAGAGAAAAGGAGAAAGAGAAGAATAAAGAGAAAGAGATAGAAAGAGGGAGAGAGAGAGAGAGAGAGAGAAGGAGAGAAAGAGAGAAAGAGAGAGAGAGAGAGAGAGAGGGAAAGAGAGATAGAGAGAGAGAGAGAGAGAGAGAGAGAGAGAGGGTGGAGGGGGAGGGAAAGGGGATGCTTGAGCGAGGAAAACGGGGTAATCATAATTATGGAGAAATTCTGTGATGATAATGAGGCAGTCCAAGTCATTATTGAGATACAGAAGCCTTTGCCCACGGAATATTGATAAAATATAAAAGGAGATAGAGAGACACAGAAATGGAAAGGGGAATTATTATCTAACAAATTGACATGACCGCAAATGTAAATTTTGTTTCTAAAATCAATGTTAGAAGGTAAGAAGAAAGCAACATTCCTGACAATAGTAAACAAAATCAACTCATGAGCGCTTTCAATGGAATTTTAGCCCTCTGTCACGAAATAATACATCCCTTCCTTTTATTAATTTGTTGTTGTTTTGTTTACTTGTCTTGATTTCAAACAAGTAATCTTAAAAGCCATCAGTGCTAGAAATAGCTCAAGGGAAATGGCTGGATACAACGTGTGGGCGTATAACGGAGGTGAAAGCCAATAAGAGTTGTCGGTTATAAAACGACGGTGATCCGTAAATCGGGCAAAAGGTTGGAGAAATGAGAGCATCTCGTTCGTATGCGCTTATTTAAAATGAACCTAAACAACAATCGAATATCGTTTTATGATAGAAAAAGACGGTCCCTTTCGGTGAGACAGAGACAGAGACAGAGACAGAGAGAGAGAGAGAGAGAGGGGGGGGGGGGGGATAATATGTATCAAATATTGCAGATAAACAAAAATTAATGTAATGTTATCTAATTCCATGAAATCCTACCAAGGATGGAAATTAGACTGAAACTATGATATTGTTATCTATTTTCTATTGTATTGGATTCATGTTTATAACTCACTGTTTCTTATAAATTCAACCTATATGAAATTAATGAGGACATGCTCTATAACAATATAGACTCAATGGGTTAAAAGATTACGGGGATTATGGGGTTGATTTTTTTAAACAAGTCTGCTTTGAAATAATAGGAGAGGCTCATTTTAGCATCTTTGACTTGTAAATATGCACCTCAGATGTTGAAAAACCTCTCAGAGTTACATATCATATTAAGAATATCCATTTACGTTTACGTCTTCTTGCGAGCTAATGCTACGTTTTATGTAAGAGCAAAAAGTTTAGAGTCCCTTTACTAATGAATATTTTTAACAAAAGCTAGGGATGAACCCCCTTAATTCAGGATTTCGATAGTGAAAAAGCTATTGAATAAATCCTACTGTCCTTTACGTTTATACGTGTATGTTTCCCCTCTCATCGATTTGTTATTTAGGAGAGTGAAGGCGACCTTCCAACAATTTAGATTGGTTAAAAGTTTCGTTTCAAATTTAAAGCGATAATACATTATACCCAAAGGTATTACGGGCAACAGGATTAAGACAAAAAGTAAAGATCTTGTGATAAAAAAGGAAAGGTCGAAGATTCCAGTAACTTTGTAAGTACGTGTTGATCATTCAGACATTAAAAAAAGAATTAATATAAACACAATTTATTATCAATTCACTTAACAATATTTCTTGTACTAGATATTTTGCATTGACTGTAGAAAAGAGTTAGTAAGAATTGATTCAACCGCTTTCATATTATTACAATACTACCTTTAAGATAATAATAATAATAATAATAATAATAATAATAATAATAATAATAATGATAATAATATTCATTTGTAAAGCGCAATAACTATGTGGATATATTCTACTGCGCTACAAGAGCTCGTAGATGCTGTGCTATACATACTACATGAACAAGTGAGTTTTCAGTTTTGATTTAAAATTATCTAGTGATGGGGCTTTCCTTATTTCTACCTTTAAAAGATTTCTATTCTTCGTAATACATTTGATAAGTGGTGCCTGAATCTTGCTTTCTCTCAGACTTCTAATCGACCCATTCATCAACTCTAGATTGATATTGCAAAAGAATTTCTGTTAAATCAAGAAATATTGCATTTTTCTTCAGTTTAACTTCTTAGTACAATTCGCGTAATATATACTACATGGACGTTACACTACCATGACTATAAGCTGATCAATTTTACTGCCTCTTGCTACCACTGTCTGCAGCATGTTCTGCTTGATAGATAAGTCGCATGAAGAATTATTAATATCTTCGTTGCTTAGCAAATTAGCTACGTAAAACGTCTTCAGCTATTTGATATTCATTTAAAACTTTGGGATACGAGTGTTCACAATAGCCAAAGTGGAAAGAGTGCGGCTATGCTAGGAAAGCAGTGAAAGATTCAGCGTCACCGTCTGGAAGATTGAACGCGTTCGTCATATTGACGCTATCACAACACATCGGGATGTGATGAGTCGCGTGGAAACCGTACACGTAGAGACGACTGCGCATGCCCTGTAGGCTCTTAAACCCATCCTTCGCGGACAGTTCACGACGGAGACATGGTTTATATCGCTCTGACAAAATACAGTGTGTCCCAGAAAAAACGAAACAGAGAATTATCGATGTTTAATCATAACTTAATCACAATTATTATTAATAAATGACGCATATTTGTAAAGCTTATATCCTCCTCTTTCATTTTGATGCAACTCATATTATTCCCATTCTTTTCTTTTTCTTTCTTTCTTCTTTTCCTTTTTCTTTCATCCCTCTATCTATTCTATTCTATCTCTTCATTACCATGAGGTCTTTCTTCTTCTTTGTGTATGGCTGATCGTCAGTGAAACGGAGTTAAATCGGAGTCAACTCTGTTTTTTGCTACGGCAGGCCGCCAGTGAAACGAATTCGTTTAATCAAAATATGCAAGCATTACTTTAAAAAAAAAAAACTAAAATTTGTTATTTCAATGACTGCCTTAAACATCTAGTTTGTTTAATAGAAGTTCAGAAAAGTCATCAAAGTTATGAAAGCTTTGAATTTGACAATAGCTTATGCCTTAGGCGAAGCCGGTTCGTACCACTAAATTGCTTCTCTACACTATTTTACAAGGATGATACCAAGGGAATTAGTAATCATGTATTTCTATTCTGTTGTTGAAACAACTAAAAGATAAGTTTTATGATGGTTGTACACAGATCATATCACCCTAAAATATATTGGATTATTTGGAAATTTAAAAGTTAAAATTTGTCTTCAAATGACGATTCAGCTGAAGTTAAACAAAAAAAAAGGAGTGAAACTGTCATTGTCGACAAGTAATCGTAGCCTCACAGTATCATAGCCTCACAGAATTAATATCTATCATTAAATCAACAGCTCCTTTATATTCATAAAAACGAATTCTTGCAATTACCAAGTCTTGAAATCCATTTAATGTATTATTCAGTAATTGCTCAAATTATATATATTTTGTTCATTCCTCACACAACTCAAACATTGTAAATCGCCCTCGAAACGAAATATATCACTAATCCTGTACTGTATTCCTTAAGTCGAAAAGTTATCCCTTTCGGGGAGGAGGCTCTAGTTTATTCAAATGAGACTATTAGAACTTTGTCGGCTCGTGGATTAAGGTATTGTAAGTTACGTTGGGAGTATCATCCATACGGTATAGCAGTACATCGTTCTTTAACGACTTTAGTGAGCACTATTCAATAGCCCCTCCATCTCCAGGCAATGTTGCCCTCGATGAAAACGTTAAGCGCTCTGAAACCTTGCTATTTCCATGTATCAATCCCTGTTATGATAAATCTTGATACCCGTTATAATTCGTGATTTTGAAATGAGCTTAAGATAATAAGGCATAAGCAAACATTTTGCACCTTAACTCAACAATATAACTA